GTTGCTCCTAGACATTTCCACTTGACAATAACAGCACTTACAGTTGACAGGGGCAGCTCTAGCAGGGCAGAAATTTGACGAACTCACTTGTTGGAAAGGTGGCATCCTATGACGGTGCCACGTTGAAAGTCACTGAGCTTTTCAGTACAGGCCATTCTACTGCCAATGTTTGTCTATGGAGATTGCATGGCTGTGTGCTTGACTTGACACACCTGTCAGCAACGGGTGTGGCTGAAATAGCCAAATCCACTATTTTTAAGGGGTGTACACATACTTTTGGCCATGTAGTTCACATAAAGTGAGTAAAACAGTATGTAAACATTATTAAAGTGACTAGTGTTCAATGACTATGGCAAAGCAGTCTCTAAGGTGCAGGGTAGAATATCGGGTGATAGTCGGCTAGTAAACAGTGACTAAGTTTCAGGGCAGGGTACTGGGCGGAGGCTGGCTAGTGGTATCTGTTTAACAGTCTGATGGCCTGGATAGAAGCTGTTTATTAGTCTCTCAGTCCCAGCTTTGATGAACCTGTACTGTCTCCTCCTTCTAGATGGTAGCAGGTTGAACAGTCCGTGGCTCGGGTGGCTGAGGTCCTTGATAATCTTCTTGGCCTTCCTATCACACCGGGTGCTATATATGTCCTGGAGGGCAGGCAGAGTGCCTCCAATGATGCATTGGGCTGACCACAGCACCCTCTGGAGAGACCTGCGGTTGCGGACGGTGCAATTGCCGTATAAGGATTCTCTCAATAGTGTATCTGTAGAAGTTTGTGAGGGTCTTAGGGGCCAAGCCAACTTTCTTCAGCCTCTTGAGGTTGAAGAGGCGCTGTTGTGCCTTTTTCACCACACTGTCTGTGTGAAGGGACCATTTCAGGTCATCAGTGATGTGCACGCCGAGGAACTTGAAGCTTTTGACCCTCTCCACTGCGGCCCCATCGATGTGGATGGGGGCCTGCTCTCTATGCTGTCTCCTATAGTCCACGATCAGCTCTTTTGTTTTGTTGACATTGAGGTAGAGGTTATTTTCCTGGCACCACGCCGCCAGGGCTCTTACCTCCTCCCTGTAGGCTTTCTCGTCATTGTTGGTAATCAGGCCTAGCACTGTTATGTCGTCAGCAAACTTGATGATTGAGTTGGAGACGTGCCTGGCAACGCAGTAATGGGTGAACAGGGAGTACAGGAGGGGGCTAAGCCCACACCACTGTGGGGCCCCCGTGTTGAGGATCAGTGTGGCGAAGGTGTTGTTGCCTATCTTCACCACTTGGGGTATGCCCGTCAGGAGATCTTGGACCCAGTTGCACAGGGAGGGGTTCAGAACCAGGTCCAGGACCCAGTTGCACAAGGAGGGGTTTAGACCCAAGGCCCTGAGCTTAGTGATGAGCTTGGAAGGCACTATGGTGTTGAAGGCTGAGCTGTGGTCGATGAACAGCATTCTTACATAGGTATTTCTCTTGTCCAGGTGGGATAGGGCAGTGTGCAGTGCAATGGCGATTGCGTCGTCCGTGGATCTGTTGGGGCGGTATGCGAATTGTAGTGGATCTAGGTTGTCGGGTAAGGTGGAGGTGATAAGGTCCTTAACTAGCCTCTCAAAGCACATCATGATGACAGAAGTGAGTGCTAGTTCAGTTACCTTCGCTTTCTTGGGACAGGAACAATGGTAGACATCTTGAAGCAAGTGGGGACAACAGACTGAGATATGGAGAGATTGAATATGTCCATAAACACTCCAGCCAGCTGGTCTCCACATGCTCTGAGGAAGCAGCTTGGGATGCCGTCTGGGCTGGCAGCCTTGCGAAGTTTAACACGCTTAAATTACTTACTCACTTCGGCCACGGAGAACGAGAGCACACAGTCCTCGTGAACAGAGGGGGCCCGCATTGACGGCTCAATGTTGTTTTATTCGAAGCGGGCAAAGAAGGTGTTTAGCTTATCCGGGAGCGAGGCGTCGGTCTCCGCGACGTGGCTGGCTTTCCCTTTATAATCCATGATTGTCTGGAGTCCCTGCCACGTACAGTACGTCTCGTTAAATTGCGACTCCACTTTTTCTCTGTACTGTCGCTTTGCCTCTTTGCCTTACAGAGGTCATAGCTGGTTTGTTTGTATACATCTATGGTTAAATGGGGTGGTTCGCCCTTTCAGTTTTGCAAGAATGCTGCCATCTATCCACAGTTTTTGGTTTGTATAAGTTCTAATTGTCACAGTGGGAACAACATCCTCTATGCACTTCCTGATGAACCCAGTCATCGATTCATTGTATACGTAGATACTATTCTCAGACGCGACCCGGAACATTTCCCACTGCGTGTGATCAAAACAATTTTGAAGCATAGATTCTGATTGGTCAGACCAACGTTGAATAGTCCTTACCAAGGGTGCTTCCTGTTTAGGTTTCTGCCTATAGGTGGAGAGGAGCAGAATGGTGACTTGATCTGATTTGCTGAAGTGAGGGCGGGGGATGGCCTTGTAGCCGTTCCGGAAGGTAGGGTAGCAATGACCAAGAGTTTGTGATGCACGTGTAGCACAGGAGATGTGTTGATAGAATTCTGGGAGTGTTTTCCTCAGATTTCCTTTATTAAAGTCGGCTTGGGGGGGGGGAATGTACACGGCAGTGTCGATGACCCTGAGTCTGACTAGGGCCCCACTTCTTCTTCCTCTTCATCGGCATCTGCGTTTTGGTGCAGCCCCCAGGATGAATAGATCTGCCTCGGCAAGCTCAAACAAAGGATCCAGGTTATGGAAGTCGAATTTCTGCTTGAATTTCTGTGGAGTGACCGCCAATCTAATGTCCAAAAGTAATTTTTGGCTGTAGGTAATAATACAAGAAATGTTCTGAACAAATAATGTAAGAAATAACACCCCCCAAAAATTTAAATACTGCAAAGTTGGCTAGGATCTAGAAACAGGACGACCGTGTCTGTCGGCCCCATCTTGTTTTCAGTATCAACTTAAATGACCAAAATCAGATAGAAAGCATGCAGAAAATATATTTAACTATATGTATTTTTAAATAATACCATCTTTGAGAACTAACAATCAAATAAAAGCTAGACAATCTGGGAGAATCGAGAAAAAAATTTATAAACGGAATTCAGGGCACATGCCCATTGATTTTGTTATGAAGTTTGAGCAGAGGAACACAGCATTAGCCATAGCACAATGCATAGAATTGCAGGAAATTAGCTATAAAACAGCAAAATTGTCTCTCAGCTCCATGCCAAACTGTGTAGAATTGCCGGAAATTAGCTTTAAAACTGCTAAATGTTCTCTCAGTTCAATGGAAACATTTGCTGAACAGCAACATTTTCTCTACGCCACCAAGATACCTTTACCTTTCTATGTTAGTTTACACTCCTCTTCAATTGAACTGTTGGGAGGTCAAAATAATGAAACTGTCTACCAAATCTATTCATTGAAAAATGTGATTACTTCTACTTGCCATTATTATTCACCTGATGATAAGACAATACATTATTTTATTTTTTTTATTTTTTTTGCTAACATACGATGTGGGTCCCTGGGTCGCCGATTTGCCTGGGCGGGGGTCCCTGGAAAAGAAAAGTTTGAAAACCCCTGTGGAAGGGTGTTTGGGTATAAAGTATGCGCTTCTCTGAGGGGATTTGGTTTTAAAGTGTACACTTCTCTGAGGGTCTTTGTGTTAAAAGTATGCATTGCATAGGGTCTTTATTTTTAAGGGTACACTACTCATGCACAACTCGGAGTGTCTCTTTGTTAAAGTGTGGACTATTCTTAGTAAGGACCCTGAGTCTAAGCTGTGCGTAGTGCGTAGTAAAGTCTGCTCTAGTCTGGAGGAGCCGGGTTGGGGGTTTAAAGTGAGTAGCTGCTCTGCTCTGCTCTGGGGGACCCTGTGCTGGGCTGTGACGGGTGACGGTGCGCTGCGCTTCAATACACCAGCTCTTTTGTCCTTCACACTCTGCAGCTCCCTGATAGCTCCTCCCTCCTTCCCCTCCTCCTTTTCCTCATCCTCCATGCTCCACACCTCGCTACTCTGCTCTCCCCTCTGCTCTGCTCTGTGTTCAGCTGCCTAGGGCCTCCCCTCAGCCTCCCCTCTGCTCCTTGGGGCTAGGCCTGGGAGACATGACTGCACTCTTCCTCCCTGACTGACTGACTGGCTGTAATGTCTGGCTGGACAAGACCCATCAAAAAGCATGTCGGCAATAAAAAGGGGGAAGGAATGGATGGAGAGGAAAATAATCACTAAATGTGTTATTGCTCACTGTAGTAGAGAAGACTAGAGACAGAGGGTCTGAAATTATGTTGAATGAAATCAATTCTATCTGTGAAGAAGTCTGATCGAATCAAATCAGTTGAATTATATTTAAATCGCATGAAGACCTAGCCAAAACGTGTATATTTAAGTCTGTGGGACTGTGACATTGGTAATAGTAGTGCTAGATTGGGAACAGCCGATAGACATGGCTGGTTGTAACACCCGGAGAGCAGGCGGAAGGAAACAATGCTAACTGTAAACACCTCTGTATAAAATATATAATGGCTATGAGAAAATGTGAATGGTTCCATGGTTGAATGGCACCTGCCTGCTACAGTATGACGGTCGGTGAGGGTGCTACAGGACAGGACATTTGATAAAGATTCATCACTCTCCTTCTGTCCGCTTTGACCTCCTCTCACGTCCCACCACATATTAGCCACCCATTATCCAGTAATTGAAGATCTCCACTTCTCTATGCACCCCTGCAGATTCAGAATACGTGCCTACTACTTTTTCAGCAAAACATGAGAAAGGTAGCTCGGGGTAATTCAACCAATGAACAAAGGAGGGATTGTAGTTGTACCATAGATAGGTATCCAGTAGTAACACCCAACACAGCCAAAGCCTGAATGAGAAATGAGGTAAACTCATAATGTAGCCTATACACAATAAACAGAAGGTAGCTAGCTACACAGCCAAAAGTAATGTAGTGAATAAATAGGCGACCTAACGTAGTGAATGTATAGATATAGTTATCTGGAGAGGAGCCAGAGCTAGCCTGACACCGGGTCACTGCATGCCATTGGCGCTCTCGCCGACACATCATCAATCACGTCACTGTGCTGGCGTTGTGACGACTGGATGTATGGAGGAAGGGTGGCGGTGGCGTCTTTAACTCTAGTGTGATGACACTACAGACAGCCATGGTGACCGGTGAATGTTTTACTGTGGGTTATTGGACTGGTTAGTTCCTTGCAAATGGAGGCATAATGCTCAGCTCACCATGTTTTAAATTTGGGATGCCACACATGCTCAGCATTATATGAAGTTATTATACTGTTATAAATTATTATACTCCCATTTAATTAAAATATCTACTCAACCCATGGATCTTCCCAACCCTTTATACTGTAGGACTAGGCAGGCGGATTGAAGAATTGAAGAAAAACACATTAAACTGAATGGTTGTAATGTTGTCTGGGTGTGGATCCACATGGGAAAGTCCTATGAAACACGTACATACCTGGATGGTTTTTATTTTATGGTTGTTCTCGTTAGAGAGGTTCTGGAAGCGGGCCAGTTCAGCCAGGCTGTAGAGGCTGCGTTGTCTGAAGTATTTCACCACAGCTTTGTGCATCCTCTTCGGCAACAAAGAAAGCTAGGAGGGTGGGGGAGACAGGGAGAAAGAAGGAAAGGAAAGGAAAAGAGAGAAAAAGGAATTGGGAAGGCAGGAGAGGAAATTAATGGCAGTGTTCAAGAAGAATGATGGAGGGGAATAGAGAAAGCAGTCAATAGCCCATTCTGCAGTACACGGGCCTGACAGGAATTTCACAGTCTCTTGGTTTCTCTGCTCACTCGTGTGCAGTCATCAGAATCCAGTCACATCTGGCTGCCAGGATGGGGGGTTAATTTTCTCTAAATGCTTCAGCAGTTTTGTTCTAGCCGAGGCAAACTCTGTGACTGCAAAGCTGATGAGTAAAATATTTCTACTTCACCCAGTTTAACTTTATACCAATCCCCTCAAGACATATTTTACACATACACACAGTCATGAACCCCCCACCGAAACTAGAAATTATTCCTAGTCTATTGGAAAGACATGCTGCTCGCTTTATTATTTGAACACAGTTTCAAGCAAAGAGGTTTCTTTCAATTCTGATAGATGCCATTGCTTTTTCTTCCTCCCTCCATGTCTCTTCTCTTCCTACAAAGCTTATCATTGCTTGGCAATGTGTTCCCCAGTGCATAGAGAAACTAAAGCAAATTAGCTCAGCCATCAACTGCTGAAGGAAAGACAATAACAGGAATGCTCTTTATGGTGTGCCCTGTTAAAAACCTGTGCTGAGAGCTCCATCCACATAAACAAAACAATACTTAAATGCAGTGATAAGAGGACACTTACATGAACCATAAAGTAACTGATGCTATTGGAGGAGAAATAACACAAACCATTTTTAGGTTAGCACTTGAGGAAAGTGTTGGGTTGGAGCATTGAAGCATTTAGCTATTTGCAGGTGATTCAAAAATAAACCAAGCGCTAACATGAACTTACTATATATGTAAACTAATTACAAATGCCTACATTCAGAATGTGTGAGGTATCTTAAGAATGTGTGAGGTATCTGTGTGAGTACAATGTCTTATTACCATGGGGCTACATATGTTTGTATTATAACAGGCCAAAGCCTGTAAACCATGGTTTGATGAGTCAGATAGACATTAGAGAGCCTTAGTAGGAGCTTCCATTGGCTCCCTCTGCTGAATATCAAACATTTTACAGGCTCTTCAAACAACTGAGAACTTGTAGCATGTTTGGAGTGAGCCATGTCATTCCTGTACACAGTATTGCTATGGGCTGTCAAACAATGTATGCTATGATATGATCCCACCAGTGTGCTGTGTCCTTGGCAACTAGTCTTTCTTCTCTGTTAGCCAGCTAGCCACTATGAAAAACATTGTGTATTGAGAATGGCAACTGATAGAAATTAGATCGGCAGAGGGATATGAAAATCAGCAAATCAATCAAAAACCAACAATTCAGTTCATTAACTTAAATCTGTTTCTATTTTTTATGAGAAAATGAGAGATGTTGGTTACCTAGGTAATAACAGGAAGAAGTCTAGATTAGATTTTTAAAAACAACACTGAGAAACATTGTCTATTCTATAATGATAGTCAATTTAAGTAAATGACAGGCACATTATCAAGCTTAATTTGGGTAGAGAACGTGATTGATAGGACGGTGGTGCTGTACTAAACCTGTCTAGAGTTGAAACAAACAGAAATGGTTGAGGGAGGCTGAATCCAGAGTAAAAGAAAATCAGGCTTTGATCATGAGCGTGGAGAATCCTGTCCACAGGATTTTATTTCTGCATGCATTTCTCACTTGATAACATTCATGCAGTCAGATGAGGAATTGCTCAAGTAAAGGTATTAGTCATTTTGGGAAACAAATGATGTCTATTGCTTATTGCCAGTGCAGTGCCGAGCAGTGCATTTTATTTCCTGGTTAGGCTATAGGATATGGTTGTCATCTGCAATTCCTCTCAAGATCAAAGTTAAATTGCGTCCCGGACCATAAAGACCAAAACGGTTCTGTAGTCTCTCACAACTATTCAACACCTTTGGGAGTATAAGTTCTTCTGTAGTTTCTCATTTAAGACCTTTGGGAGTATTAGCATTGCAAGTGCATTCTCTTTTTCTATTCTTTACCTGTGCTTGCTATGGTTCTCTCTCCCATTGACCACCCAGTGAACAGAAGCTAATGTGTAACATAAACATAATGAAACATGTCACCTTGGAACACCTTGAAAGAAACGTATTATGCATCCCAAATGGCACCCTATTTAGGTCTCTGAATAAGGATGTGTCCAAAATAGCACCCTATTCCCTTTATTGTGCACTACTTTTGACTAGAGCCCTATGGGCCCTGGTGAAAAAGTAGCGCACTATAAAGGGAATAGGGTGCTATTTTGGACGCATCCTTATTCAGAGACCCATTCAAGACTGCATAGTGAACTTAGTCTTTATGCGTTTGCATGAATTCCATCCACCTATCGCCTCTCTCAACTCCCCCTGGGCAGAAATACTACTATATGACATCCATAATCCTCCTACACTAAAGTTATCTAATTAAAATCAGATTACTGCAGTAACCTTCTCATTGGTTGCCCAACTAAAACCATCCGAAAATAACTGACCATGCAAAGAAACATTCCAATCAACTGGCAAACTGAATATAATATACACTCAACGGCCAGTTTATTAGGTATACCACCCAATCACGAAAATGGATCGCTCCTACAGACAGTGAGTCACGTGGCTTGCTATATAAAGCAGACAGACAGGCATCGAGGCATTCAGTTACTGTTCGATTGAACGTTAGAATGGGCAAAACGAGTGACCTAAACGACTTTGAGCATGGTATGATTGTCAGTGCAAGGCACGCCGGATCCAGTATCTCATAAACATCCGTCCTCCTGGGCTTTTCACGAATGACAGTGTCTAGAGTTTCCCGAGAATGGTGCGACAGACAAAAAACATCCAGTCAGCGGCAGTCCTGTGGGTAAAAACAGTTTGTTGATGAGAGAGGTAGAAGGAGAATGGTAAGAATCGTGCAAGCTAACAAACAGACAAATAACGGCGCAGTACAACTGTGGTGTGCAGAACGGCATCTCGGAATGCACAACTCATCGATCCTTGTCACGGATGGGCTATTGCAGCAGATGACCACACCAGGTTCCACTCCTATCAGCTAAAAACAAAGCGGCTCCAGTGGGCATGTGATCACCAACACTGGACAACTGAAGAGTGGAGAAACATCGCCTGGTATGACGAATCCCGGTTCCTGTTGCGTCATGCTGATGGCAGAGTCAGGATTTGGCGTAAGCAGCATGAGTCCATGGACCCATCCTGCCTGGTGTCAAGGGTACAGGCTGGTGGCGGTGGTGTACCACCATGCAATCTGCAGTAACTGTGTCAGCATGGATAAAACATCCCTGTGGAGCGTTTCCATCTTGTAGAATCCATGCCCAAAGAATTCAGGCTATTCTGGAGACAAAGGGGGGTCCGACCCAGTACTAGATGAGTGTACCTAATAAACTGGCCGGTGAGTGTAATTTCATATAATATAATATCATGATTTAAATGTATGATTCAATGACTGTGATTATGATTCAAAATGTAAAGCTCCATAATTGAATAACATTAGGAAGTAGACACGTGGTCATAAAAAGATGCCTCCGCTCGGTTCATCTCGTCGAACACACAACACAGCCTCCTGCTTGGCGATCATCAAGGCATTCTTAAGGTCTCTATACTCATGGGCCAACTCAACCTTCTCTTTAAGGGCTACCTTTAGGTCAGCCTACAACACACACAGAGAAACGCAAGTTCAGTTATACTTTTTAAAAACACAGTTCCACATATCTTGATAACAAGGTGTCCTGTCACATCAAGCAGTTGACAGGCTTATGAGAATGGTCCAAAGTCACAGAGAGTATTGAGGAGACATGGCAGGTTGCAGTTCTCTAAGTGGGTACAGTATGACTGAGGAGTTCCATCATGGTGGTTGGTTCCATCAAGCCCTAGCGGAGGAGAGCTGCTACAGTTCTACCAAAGAACAATACATGCTGAAGCAGCAGTTATACTGCACTTAATACTGTACACGTTGGATGTCAGATACTATATGAGTGATCAAAGATATGGATCACTGTCCCAGGCTGGGACTACAGAAACGAGAGATACGCATTCTTATGATCCCATAGGCCTGGGAGTGAAGCCATAGATGTATGTATTTAGGAAATACTGTATACTCAGCATTATGACGAGCTTAAAATTGATTTCCAATAACATATTTTGTCATAGGTTGTTTAGGAGGTGGTGCATGTACATGTCTGTGAGACTATCTGTATGTGCTTGTAAGTGTACACTAGTGTACATGTGAGTCTTACAAACTAGGGCACACAGGGACAAACACAGACACTTAAACTGGACACTATTCGGGGGAATGAAGCAAATAAATAACAATGAGTCTCTCTCTCTCTCTCTTTCCTCTCCTCCCCCCCCCCCCCCCCCCCCCCCCCCCCCCCCTCCCCCCACCCCACCCTTACTGTATCCTGGTGCCTATCTCGACTGCAGTGTACTATACTGTACCTGCAAAACGAAATAACATAATGAAGTGTGTCTCTGCAGTAAAACACAACAGCAGCAGCACTAAAGTGACGAGTTTAACCCAGCAGAAAGAGAGCGAGAGAGACGGGCCGTAAACATGACAAATGCCTGCTATTGATTTCAGGTTTAATTACAGCAGGCAAGGCATGCAGCACTACTGACAAAGCCCATCTGATGTGTGCTGTTGTCTGAAGTGTAAATTGAACAAATTACACTTCATTGCCCATAAGAAACTGATGGCGTCTGCAGTTTGTGTACGTTGTTTACTTTATCCACAGTGACTACGTCAAACGTCAGCTAGCCGCTTGATTAAATTAACGAAGGAAGACACCATGTTGATGGTGGAAACGCTTCGGAAATGTTTGGGTTTGGAAATTGGAGATGGCAGCCAGTTTACCTGCAGGACAACAAGACAAGCTGATTTCATTTCATTTAATCTAAATTGACTCAGTGTTACTCTTTGTTAATGTGTCTATATACAGACAACAGAGGTAAATTCTGTTTGTGGATGCTGTGGAAAGCCGATGAGCATGCCATCAAAAACACACACACACACACGAACACACACACACTCCTCCTCTGAGCTGATAGCCATGCTAATTGGCTCTACCCGACAGTTAACATCCCAACAGTCAACATCCATAGTGACCTCCAGGGCCTTCCAATGATATGAGGTCAGCATCTTTCTTCTGTGTAATTTTATATCTCAAATGTGTCGAGCCATTAGTGTGTACGCCGTTCTCTGAGTGACGCACGCCGGTTCCCAAATGCTTAGTGTGCTTATTATGTTATGCTAATGTGGACATTATGTGCGTGCTTTATATTGAACCTAATGATCAAAGTAACCCATTTCCTTATAACTTAACACTCTCTCTAACTCTTGATCTTTTCATTTGGTGAGAGGGGCTATAGGCCTATTGTTGTTTCCATTAGATTTTTTCAAGTTAAAAAGGCTAAAGCTCTTTTTGCATGACTGCCTTTTATCAGGCTAATGACACTTGTGTCTATAAGGAAGACTTCCTCATTCTTAAATTGTCTCACGCCAACAACTTCTTTAAAGTTGCTACGCTCGCGGATGCATGGCGGCCTAAGCTCCATTGCCTTTTCTTGTTTTGAACTAATGCATTCTTGATCACCGTTTAATGAAACTCCATACCACATGGCGATTTCACATTAGATAAGCCATGTGAGACTCCCATCATCCTATCCTGCATGCTGTAGATGAAATCCTTACAATATATAAGGCTTTAAAACAAAGCATTTAAATATCCAATAATGTACAAGACAGAAAATCTAGTATTTTTTTCCCCACTCATATCCTTTTTGAGGTGAATACCAAAACATATCAGAATGATGAAAAGGTGTTTTATCACTGTGCTGTCCATGGTGTGAGGTTGGAAACAATAGCCTTGTCTTGAAATCAATATGATGATTAAACATACAGGTAACTGAATACGGCAAATGTCTAACCAAGAAAGATTCACCAATACAGGAGAGACCTAAAATGTTTCATCAGTTACTTGTGACTCCTTTAAAAAACAACAAGATTGACCTTGGCTAGTCATTTTAATTGCTTATACGCTGTTGTTGTCTTCTCACAACGGATTGTGGTGAGTAATTCTACTGACACTAATCCACAAATAACTACATAATAAGGTGAGGACTCTTTCAGACATCCTCTTGTGTTTGTTACCAATATACAGTACCACTATGAAAACAAATGCCAATGGGCATGTTTGAAAACTGAACATTGTTTGTTTCAAGCACTTAGCCTACCTGAGGTTAAAACAAATGGCAAGTCAACATTTCAGGTGAATCTAAATTGTACATAGTCTCAAGAGATAAAATCCACAATTCCAGCAAATTTTGCTGTATGAGGAATACCAGTGATACTAAAGTCAGTGAGTACAACATAAACCAAACCACTTTGTATTCAACCAAATGACCCATTTTCTGCTGTCTGGTTGTGAACAGAGTAGTATGAGTTTCCACTGTTTGCTCCATCCGTTATTGAAAGTTGGTGACATCACGTTCCAAGGTGTTCATGATCAACATAGCTGTTTGGTTTTTTAACTCTACGGCATCAAAGACTAACCTGATAAATGTGAAAATACAGGTGAACGGCAATCAATTGATTTGGAATAATGCCAAGCTGATTCCTGTGGTAATATCAATGATGGAAAAGCCAAGACTTCAAAGTTAATGGTGACGCTTCATGTTCTGAGCACAGCATGAATCAAACTAATACTTTCAAGCTTTCCAGGGTCTCTGGTGCAACAGGCTTACAATGATAATAAATTCCAAATACTCTAGATAGGGTAGAAGGCCTATTATATTATATTGGCAGAACAGAGGGTGGTTGTGAGGAGAGGAGAGATTCTTACTGTAGTCCCACCCACCTTCTGATTCAAAATACAGTGAGGGAAAAAAGTATTTGATCCCCTGCTGATTTTGTACGTTTGCCCACTGACAAAGAAATGATCAGTATATAATTTTAATGGTAGGTTTATTTGAACAGTGAGAGACAGAATAACAACAACAAAATCCAGAAAAACGCATGTCAAAAATTTTATAAATTGATTTTCATTTTAATGAGGGAAATAAGTATTTGACCCCCTCTCAATCAGAAAGATTTCTGGCTCCCAGGTGTCTTTTATACAGGTAACGAGCTGAGATTAGGAGCACACTCTTAAAGGGAGTGCTCCTAATCTCAGCTTGTTACCTGTATAAAAGACACCTGTCCACAGAAGCAATCAATCAATCAGATTCCAAACTCTCCACCATGGCCAAGACCAAAGAGCTCTCCAAGGATGTCAGGGATAAGATTGTAGACCTACACAAGGCTGGAATGGGCTACAAGACCATCGCCAAGCAGCTTGGTGAGAAGGTGACAACAGTTGGTGCGATTATTCGCAAATGGAAGAAACACAAAAGAACTGTCAATCTCCCTAGGCCTGGGGCTCCATGCAAGATCTCACCTCGTGGAGTTGCAATGATCATGAGAACGGTGAGGAATCAGCCCAGAAATACACGGGAGGATGTTGTCAATGATCTCAAGGCAGCTGGGACCATAGTCACCAAGAAAACAATTGGTAACACACTACACCGTGAAGGACTGAAATCCTGCAGCGCCCGCAAGGTCCCCCTGCTCAAGAAAGCACATATACAGGCCCGTCTGAAGTTTGCCAATGAACATCTGAATTATTCAGAGGAGAACTGGGTGAAAGTGTTGTGGTCAGATGAGACCAAAATGGAGCTCTTTGGCATCAACTCAACTCGCCATGTTAGGAGGAGGAGGAATGCTGCCTATGACCCCAAGAACACCATCCACACCATCAAACATGGAGGTGGAAACATTATGCTTTGGGGGTGTTTTTCTGCTAAGGGGACAGGACAACTTCACCGCATCAAAGGGACGATAGACGGCGCCATGTACCGTCAAATCTTGGGGGAGAACCTCCTTCCCTTAGCCAGGGCATTGAAAATGGGTCGTGGATGGGTATTCCAGCATGACAATGACCCAAAACACACGGCCAAGGCAACAAATGAGTGGCTCAAGAAGAAGCACATTAAGGTCCTGGAGTGGCCTAGCCAGTCTCCAGACCTTAATCCCATAGAAAATCTGTGGAGTGAGCTGAAGGTTCGAGTTGCCAAACGTCAGGCTCGAAACCTTAATGACTTGGAGAAGATCTGCAAAGAGGAGTGGGACAAAATCCCTCCTGAGATGTGTGCAAACCTGGTGGCCAACTACAAGAAACGTCTGACCTCTGTGATTGCCAACAAGGGTTTTGCCACCAAGTACTAAGTCATGTTTTGCAGAGGGGTCAAATACTTATTTCCCTCATTAAAATGCAAATCATTTAATAACATTTTTTACATGCGTTTTTCTGGATTTTTTTGTTGTTATTCTGTCTCTCACTGTTCAAATAAACCTACCATTAAAATTATAGACTGATTATGTCTTTGTCAGTGGACAAACGTACAAAATCAGCAGGGGATCAAATACTTTTTTCCCTTAATGTACATGACCTTATAACTTACATATTTAGCAGACGCTCTTATCCAGAGCGACTTACAGTTAGGGAGTGCATACATATTTTTTAAAACATTAAATATATATATATATTGTTTTATACTGGCCCCCCGTGGGAATCGAACCCACAACCCTGGCGTTGCAAGCGCCATGCTCTACCAACTGAGCTACACGGGGCCCAACTTGGAAATTATGCGTGTGTATTAGATGTAATGCATGATGTTATGAAATGTGTTGTGCTAATATCCCTTACATTTCACACTATTCTGAAAATTAAACACATTTGTAAGTGACTGTGTGTAAACCCTTGCTTTATCGTACCTTGACAGTATTTAGATGGAAAAGTTTCATGTTCCGTTCCTTTTACAGACAAACTGAAATGTTGTTGTGTTTTGTTAGAATATCACTGAGTTGCTTAAACTTAATATTTTCTGAAACAGAGAAATGAATAATCAATTGAATTCAGTGGCGGCTCCTGAAAAAATTCTCAGGAGGGGCAATTTTTCTGATGATTTAGGTGACCTACACACATTTTAAAAAAGATATGTCCAGCAACAACATGAAGACAGGGGCAGCATATAAGTCAATACCAGAAGCATTTATTGACTGATCTGGGGAGATGGATTCCAGTTTCTGTGACAGATTATAAATAATCTCTGATGCCTTTGTTATATTAGCTTTTGGTTGAATGTACTGTCGTAGTAAATATATAATGTTATAGCTTGGTCTGACTAAAATCTTGTGCATGACCCATTTTGTGTTGGGCGTTTGTTTTCAATCAATGCTGTTCCTATCCTATAACAATGGACAAAAGAGTCCTATCTTGTCAGCCTTGTCAGCAGGTGGCCAAGGACAACACCCACGCCATAGGTCTCTCAGTTCTTCCAACTCACGAGTTCTTGCTCTGAGGACACACACACACACACACACACACACATCATCACTGATAACACACACACACACACACATCATCACTGTTAAACACACACACACACACACACAAAAATCCCCTCTCTTTAGGCTGAACATTTGAAGACAGAGAACCCGACTCAGAGCCAATGCAACAGTGGAGGGGACCTCGCCCAACTCATCAGGACCAATCAGAAGATCAGAACTACTAGATTCAACCTACATCATTTATTGTATAAAATGTCTGCACACAATGTTTTCGGGGCTCTCTTCTCCCTAAGAGTTTGACGAACGAGTCCGTGCACGCGATTCCAGATATCTTTACCTCTGAATAAACTGCCTTTATTATACCATATCCACCCTGTCCAAAGTCTCTACTTGGTCTCAGTTCTCCAGTAAACTTGTGATTATCAACAGTACACAACGGTAACAAACAATTGGGGGAACTCACGGGGCAGATAGTAAGGTCGCAATGACACAGAAAGCAGTTCAATGTCGGGGTACAGAGTCGCTCTCTTACCAGGATCGCGGTCCGCTCTGACCAGGGTGAAGCCGGCCGGCTCCACTTCTCTGTCCGGGACTCTGTCATCCAGCCAAGTCTCCCAGCTGTATTGGGATTCCGCTGCCAGCAGCGTTTTCATTATTTAGTCCGTTCGTAGCGGGTATGTACACGATCAACAAGATCAGTCCAAAACCAACCACTGGAAATCCATGGTTGGCAGAATGTTTGTAAACTAAGTCTACAAATTAAAAACATAAAATAACGCCACACTGCAGGTCGCAACAGAGACGCTGCTAGCCGCTATTGTCTTAGTTACGTTCATGGTTACGTCACGTATGACGAAAGCGCGTAAGTGCAAGCCCACAGACACCCATAGAGAATGTATTGAAAGCTTTGAAATTTGAAAAAAATAGATTTTACATGACAGGCTATGAGAGACTTCTGGGCGATTTTCAACTTGACTGAAATCGCCCCAAAAACGGGCGGGGCCATTTGAAGCACGACTTTAGCCTGATTTGACATTTAGTGGCTGGCAGATCAGACGTGAACACTGATAACTACTGTTGCCGTGATATAATTGATTAGAAAAAAAATCCCTTCCTTTTCCCGTTTGGCAGTGCGTCGCCCATATCGCCCTATTGAACAGGCCGTCCCTGATTGAATTTGAAATACTCAACATCTCTCACTAAAATTCAAATACAGTAAACTGAACATAAAATCTTTCTCAGTTTTTCTGTTTCAATTTCCAGTTGTTTTGTAGCTGATGACGCCTCCTCAAATTCCTTATGAAGTTCCCATCTGGCGTTTTCTGTGTTGGTTTTCTCCTGGTGTAATTCTGCTTCAATAGTTGTTATTTTACCCTGAAATACAGTTTAAAACTGAACAAAACTGTTCTACACAAGGAATCATATCAGTCTCTTATCATATTACTGTTTTTATAACACACGTGAAAGTAAAAAGATACTCGACAGAACCAACCGTGAAACTCGAAACTGTACAGAAAACGTGCCTTCAGATTTACCTTCAGAATGACCAGGGCTTTCATCTCGCTCGTCTTTCTTCAGATTCTCAGTCACTTTCTGAGGAGATATTGATGTGTTGCATCAGTAACACTAGTAAAGAAGCCCATTCCATCATGGTACATGGATCTACTAGTGCATATCTGAACGTCTATCTGCAGGTGCTCCTTTCACAAACCCACCTTGGTAGTGAGGTTCCATGCATGGATGAATCTCTAAAAGTATGTGCTTATTTCACTGACAAATAGTGCAGATTATGTGATTGACAATATCTAATGGTCAAAGGGCTGAATCTAAACATTAGACGTGTCAATAAGGATATGCAACCTCTATATCTAGGATTAATTTACTACAGGTTAGAGTGCATGGATGTCTAGCTAAGTGCATGGCTCTTTTCACACAGACTCTCATCCTCTGCTCCACCATGAAGGTCTTCTGCTCCAGCTCCTCCAAGTTGACCTTGGTGTTGGCGTGCAGCGTTGCCATCTGGGACAGCTCCTCCTTAGCCTCTGCTATCTGGTCCTCGTTCACACTGATCTTCTGCAGCATGCGCTTCCTGTTCTTCTGAAGCTGCTTCACTGCTTGTTCACTGATGGACACACACAGACACACACTCGTACGTAGGTACACACACATACACACTGGTATGTACGCACACACACACGTCAGACGGACCCATCATCAGAGTAACACTGACCAAGTACTTGATACTACAATGTATAATCGTGTTACGGATCCCTTTCCTAAGTGATTAGTATTAGATAAATATAAAATATTGTAATTTGATTGAAGTGATATACCCCTCATAGATCTTTTTGCTGTAGTCCTCAATCTCCAGTTCATATACTTTGTTTTCCTCATGGAGATCCAAGGTGTCCTGATGTTTCTTACGGAACACCTCCTCGGAGTGAGAGACCGCCGCTTCACCTGCAAGTCTCTGGAATATGCCCGGACACAACGTTAGGAGGATATTGTATGCAATAAATTAAATATTGTGAAAAATATGATATGTCAACATAACTATGATGACATCACTTACAGTTGCATGGACTTCTTTCTGCAGCTCTGAAATCTCTTCCTTTAATTGGGAAATGTTTTTACCTTCTACCTCGATTAATATTTTCAACTCTACAACCTGTGACCAAAAAATGTATATACATTGTACTCGCAAAGAGTAAGGAACTTATGTGCATGGCCTTTACTGGTTCTAACAGCAGACTTGCTGCCAGCTCTTAGCAAACTGTTGGAAAAAAATGTGTTTGACCAAATACAATGCTATTTCTCTGTAAACAATGGACGACATGGTTCCAGTAATGCCTGGCGAAAACCAAACACTGCATTCCACAGTAAGAACATCATACCAAAGTTCAAGCATGGTGGTGGTGTGATGGTTTGGGGATGCTTTGCTGCCTCAGGACCTGGACGACTTGCCTTAATAGAAGGAACCATGAATTCTGCTCTGTATCAGAGAATTCTACAGGAGAATGTCAGACCATCCGTCTGTGAGCTGAAGCTGAAGCGCAGCTGGGTCATGCAGCAAGACAATGATCCAAAACACACAATCAAGTCTACATTAAAATTGCTAAAAAGCAACAAATTGGAAGTTTTGGAATGGCCTAGTCCAGACCTAATCCCAATTGAGATGTTGTGGCAGGACTTGAAACGAGCAGTTCATGCTTGAAAACCCACACGTCACTGAGTTAAAGCAGTTCTGCATGGAAGAGTGGGCCAAAATTCCTCCACAGCGACGTGAGAGACTGATCAACAACTACAGGAAGCATTTGGTTGGAGTCATTGCAGCTAAATGTGGCACAACCAGTTATTGAGTGTAAGGGGGCAATTACTTTTTCACACAGGGGAATTGGGTGTTGCATAACTTTGTTTATGAAATAAATGAAATAAATATGTAATTGTTGTGTTATTTGTTCACTTATGTTCCCTTTATCTAATATTAGGTTTTGGTTGAAGATCTGATAACATTCAGTATCACAAATATGCAAAAGTAGAGAAAATTAGAAAGGGGGCAAATAGTTTTTCATAGCACTGTAAGAAGATTGTGGGAGCTGTACTGTTAGATTTCAGTGTAGCCTTTGATATTATTGGCCATAATCTGTTGTTAAAAAAACGTATGTTTTATGGCTTTTCAACCTCTGCCATATCGTGTACCGCAGGGCAGCTCTCTAGGCCCTCTACTCTTTTCTATTTTTACCAATGACCTGCCACTGGCATTAAACAAAGCATGTGTCCATGTATGCTGCTGATTCAACCATATATGCATCAGCAACCACAGCTAATGAAGTCACTGAAACCCTTAACAAAGAGTTGCAGTTAGTTTTGGAATGGGTGGCATGTAATAAACTGGTCCTGAACATCTCTAAAACTAAGAGCATTGTGTTTGGTACAAATCATTCCCTAAGTTCTAGACCTCAGCTGAATCTGGTAGTGAATGGTGTGGCTGTTGATCAAGTTGAGGATACTAAATTACTTGTTGTTACCTTAGATTGTAAACTGTCATGGTCAAAACATATAGATTCAATGGTTGTAAAGATGGGGAGAGGTATGTCCGTAATAAAGAGATTACCTGCTTTTTTGACACCACACTCCACAAAGCAAGTCCTGCAGGCTCTAGTTCTATCTTATCTTGATTGTCCAGTCATATGGTCAAGTGCTGCAAAGAAAGACCTAGTTAAGCTGCAGCTGGCCCAGAACCGAGTGGCACGTCTTGCTCTTCATTGTAATCAGAGGGCTAATTTTAATACTATGCATGCCAGTCTCTCTTGGCTAAGAGTTGAGGAAAGACTGACTGGGTCACTTCTTGTTTTTGTGTTGGAAATTCCAAATTGTTTGCATAGTCAACTTACACACAGTACTGACACACACACTTACCCCACCAGACATGCCACCAGGGGTCTTTCACAGTCCCCAGGTCAAGAACAAATTCAAGGAAACGTACAGTATTATATAGCACAAGTGAACAGCAAACCTGGTTTAAAAAAACGAATAAAGCAACACCTCACGGCACAACGCCTCTCCCCCATGTGAACTACTTGTTGTGTGTATGTACTGACATTTATGTGTAACTGATAGATGCACACATATGTATACATTGAGATCTGGAGACTGGCTAGGCCACTGCAGGACCTTGAAATGCTTCTTACGAAGCCACTCCTTCGTTGCCCGGGCGGTGTGTTTGGGATCATTGTCATGCTGAAAGACCCAGCCACGTTTCATCTTCAATGCCCTTGCTGATGGAAGGAGGTTTTCACTCAAAATCTCACGATACATGGCCCCATCCATTCTTTCCTTTACACGGATCAGTCGTCCTGGTCCCTTTGCAGAAAAACAGCCCCAAAGCATGATGTTTCCACCCCAATGCTTCACAGTAGGTATGGTGTTCTTTGGATGCAACTCAGCATTCTTTGTCCTCCAAACACGACGAGTTGAATTTTTACCAAAAAGTTATATTTTGGTTTCATCTGACCATATGACATTCTCCCAATCCTCTTCTGGATCATCCAAATGCACTCTAGCAAACTTCAGACGGGCCTGGACATGTACTGGCTTAAGCAGGGGGACACGTCTGGCACTGCAGGATTTGAGTCCCTGGCGGCGTAGTGTGTTACTGATGGTAGGCTTCGTTACTTTGGTCCCAGCTCTCTGCAGGTCATTCACTAGGTCCCCCCATGTGGTTCTGGGATTTTTGCTCACCGTTCTTGTGATCATTTTGACCCCACAGGGTGAGATCTTGCGTGGAGCCCCAGATCGAGGGAGATTATCAGTGGTCTTGTATGTCTTCCATTTCCTAATAATTGCTCCCACAGTTGATTTCTTCAAACCAAGCTGCTTACCTATTGCAGATTCAGTCTTCCCAGCCTGGTGCAGGTCTACAATTGTGTTTCTGGTGTCCTTTGACAGCTCTTTGGTCTTGGCCATAGTGGAGTTTGGAGTGTGACTGTTTGAGGTTGTGGACAGGTGTCTTTTATACTGATAACAAGTTCAAACAGGTGCCATTAATACAGGTAACGAGTGGAGGACAGAGGAGCCTCTTAAAGAAGAAGTTACAGGTCTGTGAGAGCCAGAAATCTTGCTTGTTTGTAGGTGACCAAATACTTATTTCCACCATAATTGCAATAATCATGAAAATCCTACAATGTTATTTTCTGGAAAAAAAAATTCAATTGTGTCAGGACGTTCATATATGTACAGGCCTCTCTATCTTTTAAGGGAAACTGCCAATGGTGGCGACTAATACTTTTTCCCATGTATGTACATTTGTCTGTAATTTCTTTTTCATTATGTGTCAGACCCCAGTAAGACTAGCTGTCGCCATTGGCGTCGGCTAATGGAGATCCTAATATATCAAATCAAATATACACTGAGTGTACAAATCATTAGGAACTCCTGCTCTTTCCATGACATACACTACGTGACCAAAAGTAGACGGACACCTGCCTGTCGAACATCTCATTACAAAATCATGGGCATTAATATGGAGTTGGTCCCCCCTTTGCTGCTATAACAGCCTCCACTCTTCTGGGAAGGCTTTCCACTAGATGTTGGAACATTGCTGCGGGGACTTGCATCCATTCAGCCACAAGAGCATTAGTGAGGTTGGGCACTGATGTTGGGCGATTAGGCCTGGCTCGCAGTCGGTTTTCCAATTCATCCCAAAGGTGTTCGATGGGGTTGAGGTCAGGGCTCTGTGCAGGCCAGTCAAGTTCTTCCACACCAATCTCAACAAACTATTTCTGAATGGACCTCGCTTTATGCAAGGGGGCATTGTCATGCTGAAACAGGAAAGGGCCTTCCCCAAACTGTTGCCACAAAGTTGGAAGCACAGAATCATCTAGAATTTCATCATATGCTGTATGTCACGTCTCCTCCCACTCCGGCACTCAATGTCGCTGGTCTACTAACTACCGGTCCTGGCAACCCATCATTACGCACACCTGGCAAACATCATTACCTACTTTCTGACTCCCGGCATATACGTTACACTGTAGCGTTAAGATTTCCCTTCACTGAAACTAAGGGGCCTAGCCAGAACCATGGCATTGCGCATGGTGATCTTAGGCTGCTCAGCCATGGTTCCCGACGAACAGTTATTGTGCTGACGTTGCTTCCAGAGGCAGTTTGGAACTTGGTAGTGAGTGTTGCAACTGAGAACAGGTGATTTTCACATGCTACGCGCTTCAGCACTCGTCAGTCCCGTTCTGTGAGCTTGTGTGACCTACCACTTCACGGCTGAGCCGTTGTTGCTCTTAGACATTTCCACTTCACAATAACAGCACTTACAGTTGACCGGGGCAGCTCTAGCAGGGCATACATTTGACAAACTGACTTGTTGGAAAGGTGGCCTCTTATGACGGTGCCACGTTGAAAGTCACTGAGCTCTTAAGTAAGGTAATTCTACTGCCAATGTTTGTCTGTGGAGATTGCATGGCTGTGTGCTCGATTTTATACTCCTGTCAGCAACAGGTGTGGCTGAACTAGCCGAATCCACTAATTTGAAGGGGTGTCCACATACTTTTGTGTATATATATTTTGTATAGACTGACCAGGTGAATCCGGGTGAAAGCTATGATCACTTATTGATGTCACCTTCAATCAGTGTAGATGAATGGGAGGAGACAGGTTAAAGAAGGATTTTTAAGCCTTGAGACAATTGAGACATGGATTGTGTATTTGTGCCATTCAGTGGATGAATAGGCAAGACAAAATATTTAAGTGACTTTGAACGGGGTATAGTAATATGTGCCAGATGCATCGGTTTGAGTGTGTCAAAAACTGCAACACTGCTGGGTTTTTCATGGTCAACAGTTTCCCATGTGTCTCAAGAATGATCCACCACCCAAAGGACATCCAGCCAGCTTGACACAACTGTGGGAAGCATTAGAGTCAACATGGGCCAGCATCCCTGTGGAACGCTTTTGACACCTTGTAGAGTACCTGCCGCGACAAATTGAGGCTGTTCTGAGGGAAAAAAGGGGGTGCAACTCAATATTAGGAAGGTGTTCCTAATGTGGCTAGCGAAAGTATTCACCCCCCTTGGCATTTTTCCTATTTTGTTGCCTTACAACCTGGAATTCAAATGGATTTTTGGGGGGTTTGTATCATTTGATTTACACAACATGCCTACCACTTTGAAGATGCAAAACATGTTTTATTGTGAAACAAACAAGAAATAAAACAAAAAAACCTGAGCGTGCACAACTATTCACCCCCCCCCCCAAAGTCAATACTTTGTAGAGCCACCTTTTGCAGCAATTACAGCTGCAATTATCTTGGGGTATGTCTCTATAAGCTTGGCACATCTAGCCACTGGGATTTTTGCCCATTCTTCTGGGATTTTTGCCCATTCTGCAAAACTGCTCCAGCACCTTCAAGTTGGATGGGTTCCGCTGGTGTACAGCAATCTTTAAGTCATACCACAGATTGTCAATTGGTATGTCATTCCGAGACATTTAAATGTTTCCCCTTAAACCACTCAAGTGTTGCTTTAGCAGTATGCTTAGGGTCATTGTCCTGCTGGAAGGTGAACCTCCGTCCCAGTCTCAAATCTCTGGAAGACTGAAACAGGTTTCCCTCAAGAATTTTACATTTTAGTCATTTAGCAGACGCTCTTATCCAGAGTTACTTACAGTTAGTGAGTGCATACATTTTTCATACTGGCCCCCCGTGGGAATCGAACCCACAACCCTGGCGTTGCAAGCACCATGCTCTACCATCTGCGCTACAGGAGGCCTGAATTTCCCTGTATTTAGCACCATCCATCATTCCTTCCATTCTGACCAGTTTCCCAGTCCCTGCTGATGAAAAACATCCCCACAGCATGATGCTGCCACCACCATGCTTCACTGTGAGGATGGTGTTCTCGGGGTGATGAGAGGTGTTGGGTTTGCGCCAGACATAGCGTTTTCCTTGATGGCCAAAAAGCGTAATTTTAGTCTCCTCTGACCAGAGTACCTTCTTCTATATGTTTGGGGAGTCTCCCACATGGCTTTTGGCGAACACCAAACGTGTTTGCTTATTTTCTTCTTTAAGCAATGGCGTTTTTTCTGGCCACTCTTCCCTAAAGCCCAGCTCTGTGGAGTGTACAGCTTAAAGTGGTCCTATGGACAGATACTCCAATGTCTGCTGTGGAGCTTTGCAGCTCCTTCAGGGTTATCTTTGGTCTCTTTGTTGCCTCTCTGATTAATGCCCTCCTTGCCTGGTCCATGAGTTTTGGTGCCATATTCTTTCAATTTTTTAATAATGGATTTAATGGTGCTCTGTGGGATGTTCAAAGTTTCTGATATTTTTTTATAACCCAACCCTGATCTGTACTTCTCCACAACTTTGTCCCTGACCTGTTTGGAGAGCTCCTTGGTCTTCATGGTGCCGCTTGCTTGGTGGTGCCCTTTGCTTAGTGGTGTTGCAGACTTTGGGGCATTTCAGAACAGGTGTATATATACTGAGAAGTTATTTTTTTCATTTCACTTCACCAATTTTGACTATTTTGTGTATGTCCATTACATGAAATCCAAATAAAAATCCATTTAAATTACAGGTTGTAATGCAACAAAATAGGAAAAACGCCAAGGGGGATGAATACTTTTGCAAGGCACTGTATGTCTAATTGTGCAAACTGTAAACATGACGCTACAGTTGTAAGTACATTATAAGAACACTGTTAGGTTACCACGTAAATAAGGAGATATTCAACACCTAACAGGAAAGAGTCCTTGAACAACTATTGCTTTGGTTCCTTCTATGCAGTTGCAGTACAAGTGGCATGTTTAAGTTGAAAACAATACATTTGAGAGACTCAAACTTTATCCCCCAAAACACTTTGTGTAACTATCAGATACTGTAATACTATTTATTATGCTGTGTACTGTACCCACAGTCTGTCATTAAGCAGATTCCTGATGCCCTTAAGTTCATGGAACATAAATCCTCTCTCCTCATCAGCTTTCAGTTCTTCCTTACTTATCGCTTCTTGAAATCTCTTGAGTTCATTGAAGGTCTTTGAAAATGTCTCATGGGCCTAAAATAACAACAAAATAGAAATATATGCAATACATGTGTGACAATAACAATGTAGAAACAAATAAATAAACACAATTTATTGTGAACAGTACCTCACGTTGAGCCGTATTAATTTGGTTCATGAAATCACTCTCCAGCTGCAGTTTGTCCTTCATGAGAGGCCCATTTTTCTTGACGAAATCAATGTCCTCATTTAACAGCTGGTTCAGAACCTCTGGTCTTGATCATTCTATCCTTCCCTTGGTAAAGTTTATCTCTTCTCAATTTCAGATGCCATTTCAATTCACTGATGTCTCTGGTACAGACCTTATGCTCTGGAGAGAAACAGTACATATCTAGGTTTCAGGTAAAGCAGCACCGTAAGGAATATATAGAGAACTTACGAAACATAATAGGTGAATGTTTTTTTTTTCTTCAACAAGAACTGTTACAGAATAATCCTCATAATGAAAGAGTGATAATAACATGAATTACATATTTTTAAGGGATTTTTATCTTTATGTAGCCAGGTGGTAAAAGCACATAGCTGTATTCATTGATATCCACTAGATGGCACTGTCCCTTTAAGAGAACCATAAATAATGTCTGCAACCAGAGTTGTATAAGCTTTATGGAGTCAAGAAAACCTGCACGACCCCCCATCACCCTGAGGGAAACGCTCAGTGTGAGAGGTTTAATAGAACGCTCCATGATCTCCTGCGCACACTGCCTCCAGAAAAGAAGCGCTGTTGGCCTGAGCAGTTACCTGACTTGGTGTATGCCTACAATGTGACACCCCATTACACCGCTGGGTACTCGCCGTACTACCTGCTTTTCGGGGTCCATCCACACTTTCCTGTTGATGCTTTGTTAGGTCAAGAGCAGATGCTTTACAAGAAACATGACTGGTTGGTTGTTCACCAGGAGCGTTTGAACGAGGCACATGCAAGAGCAAGAGAGTACACAGAACAAAAAGCAGCAGAGGAAGTTGAACTTCACAAAGACAAAGTGTACTGTCCACCCATTGATGTAGGCCAGCTGGTTTACTTACGCCACAGACCTAAGAGTAGAAACAAGATTCAGGATGCTTAGGGTCCTACTGTGTACAGAGTGATCGAGGTACAGGGTACTACACATGCAGTATAGCCGTTAGAGGGTGGGCCTATAAAAAAGGTTCATAAGGTTAATTTAAGGCCATGTGTGAGAGACCATCCTGTCCCTGCTCCTAGGCTAGTGAAAAACAGTGCGCCAGTAACCCCCATTGCCCCTCCTGTTAAGTCTTTGCCTTCTGATCCTGAGTTTGTAGTGTAGGAAGTCTCCTATCCAGAGGAAGTCTCCTATCCAAAGGTAACGCGAGAGGGAAACACAGAACCTGTGGGTAACGCTGATAGTGACAGTTATTTTTCCGGTAAAGTGGAACATGACAATGCTACTGAGGAACAAGATGTTTCTGAGCCAGTTATTGCAGATGATTATGTGAATGAACCAGAGGTTGAAGTGCCCGTTCCTGCTCTGCACAAAAGTACCAGTGTGAATGCTGGGGTAAACTCAAACCCGTATAACGTTCCTAAATCAGCTTGTAATAATGCAGTTTCACTCAGTCCCGAAGTGTTGTCCCAGGTTATAACCAGTCTGGGTACTGTATTCTTCAGAGAAGATGTAAGAGAAGTTAGAAACTTGTGCTAAGTCACTGAGGACGTTGACTTTGTAGCAGGGGAAAATGTAGCCAGGTGGCAAAAGCACATAGCTGTATTCCTTTATATCCACTAGATGGCACTGTCCGATTATGAGATCCATAAATAATGTGCGCAAGCCATTATGGGATTGCACATGCGCAGTGTGTAAGAGTAAGAGCAAGCAATTACACTGGAGAGCTGTTGAAATCCATCGTGGGTCCAACGTTACTTTAGATGAGTAAATAATATTTGTACCGGAATATATCATATTTTGCATCATCTGCAGTATATAAGAGTTGGTAGTAAGGTAGAAGGATTACTTTACAATGTAGAAAATAGTAAAAATAAAGAAAAACCCTTGAATGAGTAGGTGTTCTAAAACTTTTGACCGGTAGTGTATGTGCTTTCCTTACACAGCGGAGACAACAGGCCAACTTCTGTATGAATGAAGAAAGATGTTTGTACAGTGTATGTATACCAATAGCCTTATCTATTTAAAAATATTGGTAATTGTCAGTTAAACTAAGCTAAACGAAAATACACTACAAGTGGACTCATTGTATGGAAAGCATCTGCAAACAATAGGGGATGTACTGTATATGGATGATTCAGAATAATGTGCACATTATAGATGCCATTACACTGGACATTTTTGTTACTAGAAATATTCTGTTGTGTTCATGGACATCAATATGACACAAGGCTGTGTACTGTATCCCTCTCATTTGAGAAAAATAATTCACTTCTTTCAGCTCTTGCACTTAGCCCAATGCCTTCCATGTATAACTATGTAGACATAATTTAAGACTCGGATTGACTGGAATGAAATCTGGAAAAGATGGAACACATTTCTTCACATACCTGAAGAAATAGGCGCATTAAAGGGATAGTTCACACAAATTCCAAAATTACATATTGCTTTCCTTACCCTGTAAGCAGTATGAGGACAAGGTAAGAGGGCTATCCATACCTTGATTTAGTTTCCCTGGGCACAGATTCCAAATGATAACGTTTTAGCATTTGTGGCACAAATCCCATTCAAGTGATGGGACAGATATTAGCATTTTTTGGCATCATGTTTAAATAATCTATAGATGGGTTAGCTGACAACATCACAAAAACAATGCGCACACTTCAATGGGGCAGAAGTCTGTGTGTTGTTGTGATTCTGGATGGCCAGATAGCTAGCAACAATGACAAGAAGCTGCCATGTGGGGAATCGTAAGTGGCTCGTTTCAGCTAGTTTTCTCTTGTTCTTCATACCATGTCTTGTTTTGAGGTGTTTTGACTGACGTCACGTCTATGCTAATATGGCAAAAATGTGCTAGCTCGCTAACCAACAACTGTAACAATGTATTTGAGAGACAACAATTGCTCATTGTGCAAATGTATTTATGTTTTCAATAAACATAGGAGAATATAGTTTACATGTTGTCAACAATCTAAGCCAACCACATCTGTTTTGCCCCATAGTTGCGCACACGTCGGTTTTGTTGCTAAACAACTAACCCGTCTATAAGTGACTTTGTTGAGCTTCACAATACATTTGAGATACTTTCGGATGATTTGAACATGATGTGCGAAAAATGCTAATGTCGGTCCCATGACTTGAATGGGATTTGTGCCACAAATGCTAAAATATTGGCCAATTGGAAACATTACCACGGAAGCTAAATTAAAGGATGGATTGTTGTCATATCTTGTCCAAAGACTGCTAACAGGGTAAGGAAACCAATATGGGTGAACTATCCCTTTAATTGCTGTAAATGTAAAGCTTTAAATGAAGACTAACATTGGATGAACAAGACACTACTTACCTGAAAGTTTTGCTATTTTGATGTTTTTCATGAGACATCTGATGCTGAACATTTTCTGACTGATAGAGGGGACAGGACAAATTACAGAAATGTATCCAACCTTACAGTATTTCTAGACAGATTGGATAATGTTTTCATATCAGTGATATTTGCCCAATAGTTCTCTCTCTCTTGCATGATCACACTATGACATCAGCATCTTACCTGTTGACACCAGTTCTCCAGTTGCTTCTTCAGCTCCTGAATATGGCAAACAGCTTTGTTGACACACAGTGAGGGAGTGTTAACCAGGGCACAACTGCGACGTCTGCTGGGGCACACTGCTTGAAGATCTGCCTGATCTTAAAAGATATCAGAAATTACCAGCCATAAATGAAATTTAAGAGTTATGCCTCGAATCATGTTTACTTTTGGTTGGCATGATGAAAAGCCAAAAACACATAACTGATTTCCATAAATACTATACATACAAATAACAGTATGACAGTATATGACAGCTAGCACTGCATCGCACTAGAGATCCTGGTTCGAATCCAGGCTCTGTCGTAGCCGGCGCGACCGGGAGACCCATGGGGCGGCGCACAATTGGCCCAGCGTCGTCCAGGGTAGGGGAGGGAATGGCCGGCAGGGATGTAGCTCAGTTGATAGAGCATGGCGTTTGTAACGCCAGGGTTGTGGGTTCGATTCCCACAGGGGGTAGGAAAAAATATAAAAAAATGTATGCATTCACTAACTGTAAGTCGCTCTGGATAAGAGCGTCTGCTAAATGACTAAAATGTAAATGTATAACATAAAAAAATGAACATTCAATGTTTATCCCTTAAAATCAGACACAAAGGTACATATAGTATATCAGACATGTAATCCACTATGTATGAAAGACTTAGTATTATGAAAACCAGTGATTGACTTGGGCAGGAACTGAATATTGACACCTCAAATGTTCTACTGCTTGAGTTGCACCTCTTATAGAATTTTATCTCAAAAGTATTGTGGAGTTCCTGCACCTAAATATGAACAATACCGTCATCCAAAATTAGTACCGGCATCTATTTCAGTCCACTGATTATGACAATAACACAATGAGTTTATGTCATTTCAGTATCACCCATAACTGTTCATAACCAATCACCGTATTGTAAGGGTCAGTAAATAGGCCAGGGAAGCCTAATTTGAGCCTCATGTGGCACGACACAAAGGCAATATAAGCATAGTGGTGTAAGGGCGCCATCTGGCTGCAGTATGGTTCCTGGCCTAAATGCACAATATTGAAACAGATATCCTACCCAGCCGAACATGCACTTTATGCCAGTGCTTTCAATGTACAACATACATTAGTTGCAGGTGGAGTGCTCATAGGAAATGTGATTAAGCAAGTGAGTGACTTTCACCTTTTGTCATGGTCTGTAATTTGATACAGTACAATACCTGGTGTTGTGCCAACCTGTCAATCAATCAATCAAATGTATTTATAAAGCCCTTTTTACATCAGCAGATGTCACAAAGTGCTATACAGAAACCCAGCCTAAAACCCCAAACAGCAAGCAATGCAGATGTAGAAGCATGGTGGCTAGGAAAAACTCCCTAGAAAGGCAGGAACCTAGGAAGAAACCTAGAGAGGAACCAGGCTCTAATTTTTCTCTGGGAGCAAGACAACGTGTGATGACAGACAGAGTATAACCATAGTAGAAAAATTCCACCACCTATCTCTGTTCTGTTTCAACTGCCTTTCAAGTGTTAAGGTTGTGTGCGTGGGGGAGGGGAGGGGTATTTCAACAAACCTCCAAACAAGCTTCAACGCCATACAACACTCCTTCCGTAGCCTCCAACTGCTCTTAAACACTAGTAAAACTAAATGCATGCTCTTCAACCGAAAGCTGCTTGCACCCAATCTAGAATCACTACTCTCGGCGGGTCTGACCTAGAGTATGTGGACAACTACAAATACCTAGGTATCTGGTTAGACTGTAAACTCTCCTTCCAGACTCACATTAAGCATCTCCAATCAAAAGTTAGATCTAGAATCGGCTTCCTATTCTGCAACAAAGCCTCCTTCACTCATGCTTCCAAACATGCCCTCGTAAAACTGACTATCCTACCGATCCTTGACTTCGGCGATGTCATTTACAAAATAGCCTCCAACACTCTATTCAGCAAATTGGATGTAGTCTATCACAGTGCCATCCGTTTTGTCACCAAAGCCCCATATACTACCCACCATTGTGACCTGTACGCTCTTGTTGGCTGGCCCTCACTACATATTCGTCGCCAAACCCACTGGCTCCAGGTCATCTATAAATCACTGCTAGGCAAATCCCCGTTTTACCTTAGCTCACTGGTTACCATAGCAACACCCACCCGTAGTCTGCGCTCCAGCAGGTATATCTCACTGGTCATCCCCAAAGCCAACACCTGCTTTGTCTGCCATTCCTTCCAGTTCTCTGCTGCCAATGACTGGAACGAACTGCAAAAATCTCTGAAGCTGGAGACTCTTATCTCCCTCACTAACTTTAAGCATCAGTTGTCAGAGCAGCTTACCGATCACTGCACCTGTACACAGCTATTCTGAAATTAGCCCACCCAACTACCTCATCCCCATATTGTTATTTATTTTGCTAATTTGCACCCCAGTATCTCTATTTGCACATCATCTTTTTCACATCTATCATTCCAGTGTTAATACGAAATTGTAACTATTTTGCACTATGGCCTATTAGATTGCCTTTCCTTTTAAATTGCCTTTCCCATAACTTACTACATTCGCACACACTGTATATATATTTTCTGTTGTATTTTTGACTTTATGTTTTATTTACCCCATATGTAACTCTGTGTTGTTTTTATCACACTGCTTTGCTTTATCTTGGCCAGGTCGCAGTTGTAAATGAGAACTTGTTCTCAACTGGCTTACCTGGTTAAATAAAGGTGAAATAAAATATAAAATAAAAATGTCGTGCAAAATATCATTAAAACCTTGTAAACTCGGCCCCCCTTCCCTGGATGGAAATCTAAGTAGTTAAACTTAAGGCACTGTAGCAGTATGCAATCACCACAATCCTGTGCAAAAACAAATTGTTAGTTAGATCATTGTTAGTGAAATTAAATCACTTATTTGGTACCTACTACATCTTGCCACTGTGTAAACTAATGGCAAAAAAAAAGCCCATGTCATTTTAGCTGGCTAGGTGTGTGTCATGTGGCATGAAGGAAAGTGAAAGTGTGATTCGCCTGGACTGGAGAGAGTTGGGTTGGCTATCAACTTACGTGACTTGTTCCCAGAATGGATAGATCCTCGTTTTTTAACATTGCAACGTCCTGATTCAGGCGCTACTGTAGCTACCACAGCTACTTTTACCGTCAACAATATATCCCGCGAAACGTTCAACAAAGTTTATTTTCTGACTAGCTAGCTAGCAGCTACATACAATACATTATAATAATGCCCCATAAGATTCTATTCCGCCTTGAATGGCTGCGTAAAATACCGTATCACATTGTTGCTAAGCAACAAGCAGGTTCTCAACGGGGCTGCATCCAAGAGCAGTAGCAGTGGAGGTTTGTTCACTTTACAAAATGCCAAATAATTTCAAATGTTGTAGTTGTTCTCGACTGCTCGAGGCCTTTTGCATGGCACAGGCATAGCTCATCATCTGCCATCTAAATTAGGGGACATGTGATGCATTGTATTAATTCAGAGGTTTACACCAAGGTAACACAAGAGTCAATACATTTTGAGACACTATCAACATTTAAAGCTGGGGTGTCAAACTCGACGCTTTAATCTACGTTCACGTCATCCGCGCCCGGGGAGCAGTGTTGGAGGTTAATGGCCCAACGCGCTTAACCGCTAGGCTAACTCGTTGAAGATGCTAGAAGTTTCACAGTGAAACTGTTTGGCTGACTAGGAGTCAAAGGGATAACAGATACATATGATTATATTAGGGTAATGCTTGCTGTAGAAATATGAGTCACGAAGCAAGTGATAGCATATTAATTAAAGGACAGTTAGACTCATCCTGATTTCCAATGGGGCATCACATTTGTGCTAAAGAAGCAATTACACATACATTCATGTGATAAAGATTATCTGTTATTGATCATTAATTGATGAAATACTAACACCTAAATGTCAGTTATATCAAGGGTTGGGGTTAATTCCACTTTCAATTCTTGTTCAATTCCCTCTCCCTGTGAATTCCATGTAATTCAATTCAAATCCCAGGTCAGTCTTTGAATTCAAAGATAATTCAATTCCTCTCAATTCAAAGGTTAACTAAATTTCAATAATTCAAAAATATTATCCCCAACAATTCCACAAATTCAAATTAAATTCCCTCAGGCTTTCAGGCTGATCATGTCACTGTTCAGACAGCCTGGAAATATATAAATAAAAAAATTGAAATTATTTAAAACAAATCCTTCAGTAATTGTTTGATACCAAGTGCATTATTCCATTAACTGTGAAATTTACAAATATTGAATTCAAATCCAATTAAATTCCAATTCCATAACTTGAAGATTGTTGGAATTCAAATTGAATTCAATGTAAATTCTCCAGTTAATGAGTGAATTCAAGAATTGAATTGGAATTTCAAATTAAATTGGAATTGACCCCAACCCTGCTTATGTCCTTATGGCAATCAACTCCACTTGAAAGTCCAATGTGCTCTACAAGTAAAAGAGCAGATATAGGCCTACTATTGGTAGATTTGTAACAAACAGGTTCTAGGATAGGCCTGGGTCATAAAGACCTCAACTGAATACTGGTATGGAAGCAACACAGGATTATCACAAAATATATTGATTTGATTACAAATATAATTTTTACAGTTCTACAAAGGCCTGTAAACAAAGCACGGCAAATATTAATTGTAAGCACAGCAAACTGATTTTCAGTGCAACACAGCAAACAACACAATATTCAATCAATATGAAAGGTCTTAACAGACTAAAGTGTTACTATCCTAAAACTGACCACGCTCTCTTAATAGACACAATTACAGTATAAAACACAAGGACTCACTTCTGTCATCATGAAGTCCTTTGAGAGGTTAGTTACGGATCATATCACCTCCACCTCCACCTTACCTGACACCCTAGACCCACTACAACTTGTGTAACACTTTACTTGACACCCAGCGTCATAACACTTTATGACACAGTCATAACCATTACATAAATGTCATAACAGCTGACATAACTTGTCATAACTTGTCATAACCCACCATAATATGGCGGCAGGTAGCTTAGTGGTTAAGAGCGTTGTGCCAGTAACCGAAAGGTCGCTGGTTCTAATCCCCGAGCCGACTAGGTGAAAAATCTGTCGATGTGCCCTTGAGCAAGGCACTTAACCCTAATTGCTCCTGTAAGTCGCTCTGGATAAGAGCGTCTGCTAAATGACTAAAATGTAAAAATGTAATAACACTGTCATGACCCATGACACCTGTTGTGATATATATAGCATTCTTTTATGGCTGGTTATGACACCTACATAAGAGTGTCAAAACCCACATTTATTCAAATGTTTTTTCTCTGCCAAGAACTTTCCTTTCGTTTGAAAGTTTGTTTCTTAAGTCCTTTGTTGTTGTTGTTGTTGTAATGAATTATTTACAGTCATCTTTTTTTTCATCATATTTTAAATAACTTGTAGAACATACACTTTATGACACTGTCATAAAGCATTATGACCATCCTGTGTCACTTTACTTGGACTAAGAAAATACACTTTATGACACTGTCAAGAATTGTTTTGACCATCATAATCATATAAGCCAGATAGGCCTATCACGTACAAGCCCTTATCTCAGTCATCAGTCAAAAAGAGGGTGTCTTGTCCTGCTCTTGAAATCTGCTCCTGCATTCATCCCAGTCATCAGCAACAGAGCATTGGGGTAGGTGCATGTCTGACATCAATGTGTGCGCATTTACAATGATAATTTAATATGGTCAATTTTAGAAAATTGTATATAACATAAACATACTGTTGACAAGTAGGCTATGATGTAATGGAATGTTTTGCCTTGTGTGGTAGGTTTTGGATCTCTTATGTAGGTGTCATAACCAGCCATAAAATAACTACCGTGGTAGGTTTTGTGGGTTTTGACACTCTTATGTAGGTCTCATAACCAGCCATAAAATAAAGCAATATGTCACAACAGGTCTAAATATATGTGTCAATCGCCATCGCACTGCACACTGCCCTATCCCATCTGGACAAGAGGAATACATATGTAAAAATGCTGTTTATCGACTGCAGCTCAGCCTTCAACACCATAGTGCCCTCCAAGCTCATCTCTAAGCTCGGGGCCCTGGGTCTGAACCCTGCCCTGTGCAACTGAGTCCTGGACTTCCTGACGGGCAGATGCCAGGTGGTGAAGGTAGGCAACAACACCTCCGCCACGCTGATCCTCAACACGGGGGCCCCACAAGGGTGCGTCCTCAGACCCCTCCTGTACTCCCTTTTCACCCATCTCCAACTCAATCATCAAGTTTGCTGAAGACACAACAGTGGTAGGCCTGATTAGCAACAGCCAGGAAAATAACCTCTCCCCTCAACGACATCAAAACGAAGGGGCTGATCGTGGACTTCAGGGAGGTGTGGTCAGCCCAACGCATCACCGGGGGCACACTGCCTGCCCTCCAGGACATCTACAGCACCCAGTGTCACAGGAAGGCCAAGAAGATCATCAAGGACCTCAGCCACCCATATAATGTTCATTCTGTCTATATTTATATTCCGGACTCTGACATTGCTCGTTATGATATTTCTTTATTTCTTTATTTTTGGATTTGTGTGTATTGTTGGAGCTAGAAACATAAGCATTACGCTGCAGTTTCGATAACATCTGCAAAATATGTGTACGCGACCAATACAATTTGATTTGATTTGAATAACTACATCTGCTGGCTGTCTCCAAGTCCACTCCAAACACCCACCAACAAGGTTGTACTGAGAATACTTACAATTACTACTTTACAAGCACACAGAAACTGGAAAAGGATTATTCAATGTGACTGAAGGGCTGCATTTACACAGGTAGCCTAATTCTGTATTTTCTTTTGCCAATAATTTGTATTTTGTCCACTCAGAGTAGATATTTTGCGAATAATTAGGCAAAAAAACAAGGGTGCGTTCAGTTCGATTAATCGCTTGCCACGTTGCTTGCTACATTGTATGACGGTTTTACTGAAGACACGTTTTCACAAAACGTTATTCAACGTTCTTGAACAGACTTTGAGAACGTGTGCTCCGTTTTGTGGGTGTGGCTTGAAGCAATGAGTGATGGTATTTAGAGGGAAGCAGAGCGTTTCCCAACCACCTAACCCCTCCCTGTTTTTCTACTGGTCGTTCAGAACAGCACCGTTTCCGTTTAATTGAACGGTGCACAACGCAAAATGGGCTGCCAGTGAGGGAGTTTGATTAATCTCGCCCGGGTAATGTGTTTTGCACTGGCTGGAAGTTGATTGCATTCGATTTGGAACCGGGCTGTCTCCCGGGCGTGAGCCAGGTGCACCACTCTGTCCGACGGCAAAGTCGGTTCAAAACAAAAGTGACGCAATCACGCACGTGTAGTAATGAGTAGGATTCTGTGTTTTCACGTGCAAAAGTGATTGCTTTTGATTAAAACGCTTTATTTGCCTTCCCAATGGAAACTAGTTTGAAAGGTCAAAAATTTATTTTATGGAAAAAACGATGCACCATGTTGCCTTGTTGACAACATGACCGAACGGCGCAGATTACTATTCGAAACTGTTCCTCCCTCCCCGCTTTCGCCCGAAGACGTGACGGACAATAGCGTGACAGAGTACAGTAAACTATCTTTGATAGATTATATTACATGTTATATGTTATTACATTATATAGACATATGCCCACTGTAACCAGATCCTCAAAGGAAAATTGAATTGTGTTGTCGTCTGCATCCTCTCCATCTGTGCGAGGTAGCCTGTGCAGCCTATTGGGGGCTATTGATCTCGAATATTGTCTGTGTTTAATGTGAGCCTAGAACAATCCAGATGTTTCACCGGATGTATAAATCTGAAGCCTCCGGTAGGCAGTTCCACTCTTTACCAAATATGGTGGTGAGCGGGAGCCCAGTGGCTGGCAGTGGGAGAAGATAGAGCGAGATGGATTTTGGACGACCGGTTCGTACGTAAAACATCCTCTATTCCGTCTGCAAAGGCATCTGTTTCCTCCTTAACTTGCTTTAATAGCGTGCCGCCTGATTTAAAAAAAAAAGTGCTATTAAATGTATTAATAAAACACTTTCTCCACCACCATTTTCGGATTTTTTGACAACTTCAGGATGTTTCACACCGCGTTCAGCCAATCAGGTTGCAGCAGTCTGTTTACTCTTAGCTGAACAAGGTGGCCAACATCGTGAAGTAGCATTAGCCACTCTAGCATGGTGGTGGAAAATTGTGTTTTATTAAGACAGTACGCACATTTTCCCAGTTTTTTCCCCCAGCGGCACGCAATTAAAGCTAGTTAAGGAAGAAACCGATGCCTTTGCATTCGGAATGGAGGATGTTTTATGTACGAGCCGGTCGCCAGGCAAAGTATTACCCGCTGATCACATAGCCCAGATGATAAGATCCATAGCGCCCACTAGCGGCTTCCCAGGCTATGCATGAGGAGGATGTTTTGTCCTACTCTGAAAGCAATTTCTAAACTCCTTGAAAGTGGCCGCTGATAATCACATGGCTGCTATTACTGTGCTTATCTGACTTTGATGTGACGCTGATTTCTCTCATCCGTTTCTCACCATGTTTCAAGCAGACAGCACTGACTAGTACAATTCAGAGACAGGGCTGTCCAGTGTAATACACTCCCAGACAAACATGCAATTGTTGAGACTTCTTATTTACTGGCTATATAGGCTACTATAAAGACGTCGACATGATGCAGATTTCTCTCATCAGTTTCTCACCATTTCTTATTTTATCAGATGGTGGTTGTTTTCACAGACTGCACTTATTCTTCCTGTGCATTCTATTCATGGTGTTATACAGTAAATATATGGCTGAATCATTATGTGTTTGAATGTTTATTTTGTCAACTTCAACATTTGTAAAGAATACACTGACGCAAGTGAAGAGATTCCGCATTACGTCATCGGCAGAAGCCATACATACTCGAGGCAAATGCTGGGTTGCGCTACTCGAAAATTTCCATCACATCACCACTGCAAAAGGCGTTTGTAAAAACAGGAATAGACCGTTCTAGGGGTAATGTACAATTGACCCAAATGAATCTTAATCACGTCTATGGACACGGCTGACACGTCTAACCTGGATGTAAACAATGCAGTTTTATTCCTCCAAATCCTGGTAAGTATAGACAGCACAAGTGCACTGGAACGACCTTATTATTACTCGTGTAAAATCCAAGTTACTGTATAGGAACTAGTGAGATCGAGATGTTTTTTTAAAATCACGAGGCAAAATGCATGTCAATTGTTAGGATTGAAGGATTGACAATTTGGGTGTTGTAAAAATGCCTCATTTGTTGTTATTATGCCTCATTTGTAGTGCCTCTGTCGTAACATGGGATACAGGTTATTGCAATGGATGTACATATACATCTGTTGTTGCCTTTCTTCACTCATCATGTGTGTTGGACAAGAAACGTTGACAAATGATGCTCTTGGTATTTCACACTGTAAATCATAGTGTTTCTCAGTTCTTTCTGAAATGCACCAGAGCTGAGCAGGATCCATTGTGGTTAAAGTAATCAAGTCATTGACATGGCTATCATGGCTCGTTTATAAAACTGTAACGGCATCAGCAACCAACAGTTTGGTAGACTACATGACCAGAACTATGTGGACACCTGCTCTTCGAACATCTCATTCCAAAATCATGGGCATTAATATGGAGTTGGTCTCCCCTTTGCTGCTATAACAGCCTCCACTCTTCTGGGAAGGCTTTCCACTAGATGTTGGAACATTGCTGCTGGGACTTGCTTTCATTCAGCCACAAGAGCATTAGTGAGGTCGAGCAGTGATGTTGGGCGATTAGGCCTGGCTCACAGTCGGCGTTCCAATTCATTCCAAAGGTGTTCGATGGGGTTGAGGTCAGGGCTCTGTGCAGGCCAGTCAAGTTCTTCCACACAGATCTCGACAAACCATTTCTGTATGGACCTCGCTTTGTGCACGGGGGCATTGTCATGCTGAAACAGGAAAGGGCCTTCCCCAAACTGTTGCCACAAAGTTGGAAGCACAGAATCGTCTAGAATGTCATTGTATGCTGTAGTGTTAAGATTTCCCTTCACTGGAACTAAGGGGCCTAGCCCGAACCATGAAAAACAGCCCCAGACCATTATTCCTCCTCCACCAAACTTTACAGTTGGCACTATGCATTTGGGCAGGTAGCGTTCTCCAGGCATCCGCCAAACCCAGATTTGTCCATCGGACTGCCAGATGGTGAAGCGTGATTCATCACTCCAGAGATCGCGTTTCCAGAGTCCAATGGTGGCAAGCTTTACACCACTCCAGCCGATGCTTGGCATTGCGCATGGTGACCTTAGACTTGTGTGCGGCTGCTCGGCCATGGAAACCCATTTCAGGAAGCTCCCGACGAACAGTTCTTGTGCTGACGTTGCTTCCAGAGGCAGTTTGGAACTCGGTAGTGAGTGTTGCAACCTAGGACAGGTGATTTTTACGCGCTACGTGCTTCAGCACTCTGTGGTACCATTCTGTGTGCTTATGTGGCCTACCATTCCGTGGCTGAGTCGTTGTTGATCCTAGATGTTTTTTACACTTCACAATAAAAGCACTTACAGTTGACCGGGGCAGCTCTAACAGGGCAGAAATTTGACGAACTGACTTGTTAGAAAGGTGGCATCCTATGACGGTGCCACGTTGAAAGTCACTGAGCTCTTCAGTAAGGCCATTGTACCGCCAGTGTTTGTCTATGGAGATTGCATGGCTGTGTGCTCAATTTTATACACCTGTCAGCAACGGGTGTGGCTGAAATAGCCGAATCCACTAATTTGAAGGTGTGTCCACATACTTTTGTATATATAGTGTATACAGTGCCTTCGGAAAGTATTCAGACCTCTTGACACATTTTGTTACTTTACAGCCTTATTCTAAAATTGATTAAATTGTTTTTTTCCCCCCTCATCAACCTACACACAATACCCCATAATGACAAAGCAAAAACAGGTTTCAGACCCTTTACTCAGTCCTTTGTTGAAGCATCTTTGGCAGCGATTACAGCATTGAGTCTTCTTGGGTATGACGCTACAAGCTTGGTACACCTGTATTTGGGGAATTTCTCCCATTCTTCTCTGCAGATCCTCTCAAGCGCTGTCAGGTTGGATGGGCAGCATTGCTGCACAGCTATTTTCAGGTCTCTCCAGAGATGTTCGATCGGGTTCAAGTCCGGGCTCTGGCTGGGCCACTCAAGGACATTCAGAGACTTGTCCCGAAGCCACTCCTGCGTTGTCTTGGCTGTGTGCTTAGGGTCGTTGTCCTGTTGGAAGGTAAACCTACGCCCCAGTCTGAGGTCCTGAGTGCTGTGGAGCATGTTTTCATCAAGGATCTCTCTGTACTTTGCTCCGTTCATCTTTCCCTTGATCCTGTCTTGTCTCCCAGTCCCTGCTGCTGAAAACATCCCCACAGCATGATGCTGCCACCACCATGCTTCACCGTAGGGTTGGTGCCAAGTTTCCTCCAGACGTGACGCTTGGCATTCAGGCCAAAGAGTTCAATCTTGGTTTTAACAGACCAGAGAATCTTGTTTCTCATGGTCTGAGAGTCTTTAGGTGCCTTTTGGCAAACTCCAAGCGGGCTGTCATGTGCTTTTTACTGAGGAGTGGCTTCTGTCTGGTCACTCTACCATAAAGGCCTGATTGGTGGAATGCTGCAGAGATGGTTGTCCTTCTGGAAGGTTATCCTATCTCCACAGAGGAACCTCCCTGACCAAGGCCCTTCTCCCCCGATTGCTCAGTTTGGCCGGGCGGCCAGTTCTAGGAAGAGTCTTGGTGGTTCCAAACTTCTTCCATTTAGGAATGATTGAGGCCACTGTGTTCTTGGGGACCTTCAATGCTGCAGACATTTTTTGGTACCCTTCCCCAGATCGGTGCCTCGACACAATCCTGTCTCGAAGCTCTATGGACAATTCCTTTGACCTCATGGCTTAGTTTTTGCTCTGACATGCACTGTCAACTGTGGGACCTTATATAGACAGGTGTGTGCCTTTCCAAATCATGTCCAATCAATTGATTTTACCACAGGTGGACTCCAATCAAGTTGTAGAAACATCTCAAGGATGATCAATGGAAACAGGATGCACCTGAGCTCAATTTTGAGTCTCATAGCAAAGGGTCTGAATACTTATGTAAATAAAGTATTTAAGTTTTTTATTTTTAATACATTTGAAAAATATATATATATACACTGTTTTCACTTTGTCATTATGAGGTATTGTGTGTAGATTTCTGAGGAAATGTTTTTATTTAATCAATTTTAGTATAAGGCTGTAACGTAACAAAATGTGGAAAAAGTCAAGGGGTCTGAATACTTTCCGAATGCACTGTATATCAGCATATTCCCAACGATCCAGTTTTTCTGTTGTTGCAGAGATATCCTGAAGCAGTTTCACTAATCACCTTTGTAAAGCAGCCAGTATCAGAGTTTTTTTTTTCTCACTAAGGAGCTCACATTTGGACACAGTGTCAGTTCAGGAACAACACAGTTCTGCTTTTCTTTCTTTGACTGTGGTAAAAAAAAAAGAGCCATAATAGAAATAAGGGACTTATAAGGGAATGGTTCAGCGTGGCTGAAATTCAGTTAATAACTGCGCAAGAGAGTTTATCTATCCACTGCAGGAAGAAATGTGATAGTTTTAATATCGCTAACAGAAACTGACTTTATAGCCTTGGTTTGATTCTGGCAGGGGTGGTGCGTTACAAGTCATCTGCAATGTTTATGATATGCGATGATTTGCTCATTTCAGGGCAGTTATTTTTAATACTGCAAGTGTATGTGACACTGGCACAGAGCAAGAGTAATGCTCGCTGGGTGGACGCCAAGTGAGAGGTTGGAAGGGGCTGCAACTGGAGAGCCAGTAAAGCTGTACAAGAATGTGGAGCCTGTTCATTTGAAGTTAAAGATAGAGGCAGCAACACAACCTGTGTCCTGACAGTTTCTAATTTCAGATATCTGACTGTAGCTAAGCTAACCCCCATCCAACTGGGGCTGGCTGCTTTTGTTGTCATGTTTGCCTGGTAGAGGGCTTTATATACTCTGTACAGTTGTTATTAAGAATGACAAGCCTTTGGGGTAGCACACAGACAGACAAGGAAACAGAGGACCATGGTACATTCTGAAGGGTATGTTCAAAGTTGACAAGTTTGTCATCTCCTGATTTGTGTTGTTTGTGGTTGTTTTCAATCTTCAATAGGGGAATAGTAGTTTGTGGCAATCTTAGCTATTTATTTCACTGATTTAGAATAGCTTTCGTAAGGTCAAATACTTGGCACAAGAGCTTGGCTCTGTTCCTTTGTGATATGAAATGGGAGTTTGTGTATGTTACAATGTTATTATTAGTTAGTTGGTTACTATGCGTTTGTTATACAGGGGATGTAGCTCAGTTGGTAGAGCATGGCGTTTGCAACGCCAGGGTTGTGGGTTCGATAAAATAATGTATGCGCTAACTGTAAGTCGCTCTGGATAAGAGCGTCTGCTAAATGACTAAAATGTAAATGTAAATGTTATACTATATGAGACTCAAGTTGATTGGATGATTAATGAATGATTAACTGAAAAGTGTTTAACATTGTTGTAACTTGCTTCAACTAAAACTTGACATGACAGACAGATAATGCAGCCATCTTTATTGTGTGAATACAGTGTCTAGGAGTGAATGCACTACTTGCTACCAATTTGATCCAGTGTTACCATAGAGGGCGTTACTCTGCAGAGAAGGGGCTGTGTGCAGAAATAGTTTTCATTTTTGTGTATGTGTACAGTACCTTAAATTAGCATTTGGGATGAAGCTTTTGGAAGTTCCTGCATGTAACCTGAGGCCACTGCATAATATTAGCATATTTATCCCTTTCAATTATGTAACTTCTACTTCATTGGTGAAAAGTGGCCAGTCTTAGTAGAAAGAGTATAATGAATCATAGTCGTTTATCATTTTGATGTCATTGTGTAATGGATAAGTTCTATTCTATTTTCATTCTATTTGTAATTGCAATGTATTCCAATCCTGATTCAAACATTGATGTTTTGCTCCACAAACTTTGGTCCCCTCTAAAGTGAGAGAGAGGGAGGGGAGGGGGGGCATTGCACCCTGTTTTTTAGGAATGGAGTGACTGGGTTCTTTGCTACCATGGCAACTTACCACATGACTAGGTGTATTAGATTTCCTTGGACAGTGTGCAGCGAGGCATGGTGTGAGCATTCGCTAGCTCTGCCACTCTGCTACTGTGAAACGCTCGTCCTTGTCTCGCTCAAGTTTTTCAATGCCCTGTAGGGACCGTCCGCAGGCTATTAATATGTCCTGACGGTCACCAGGTAAGAAATTATGTGTCATGTTGACATTCATTCAAGTGAAAATGGGCAGTGTGAGGTGGTCAAATGTTATTAGGCATTGATGGAAGAAATGACCCTGAGTTGTGTCATTCATATCACAGATTATGTTTAGTGAAGGACTCTTGGTACTAATGATACAGTATCTTGTGTTGATTCAGGCTATGAAGTGAATTGAGATAATATAGTGTGGATGGTGACATCAAGTGGATGGTGATACAGTATGTAGAGGGTACTGGTGGTGATAACCAAGTGGATAATAGTGTTGCTGTTGTAGAAGTGGTGTCAGATACTTAGTACTGTAGTGTTTGACTGAGGGCTTACTAAATGCATGAGACAGTAGGATGTACATTACATGATAGCAGTTGTGGCTGAGCAGTAGCACAACTATGGAGTAATACTACAACTACTAAAGCTGTTGAGTTAGTAGTGTTACGTTCATGTATTTCTTTTAATAAAATGACCGCATGGGAAGCAATATTGTATTGTCTGCACTCAATAATTACCTAATCATTGATCCATTACAAAAGTGTCACAAATAGGACTCAAGTATTCAAATAATTAAAAAAATGTTATTATTTTAATTCAAACTGTCATGGCCCAGTGAGTGTAAGTCATTACTCATGAATAGTGTTACGAAACCAATAACTAACCTACTGATTTTGCTGCACTCGTTATGTCTTGGGGTATTAGGCCTAGCTACGTGGTCTGTAACCTGACTGAATGGGTGCTTTAATGTGAGAAATCAGTGTTTGAGGACCGTGTTGGATGCACATGTGGCCAGGGAGACAGCAACCTTACCTTGACCCAAGGCTAGCTCTGTCTCTCTTGACTTCTTGGTCGGCCAGTCCAAGCAGATTATTATTTGCTCAGATGGTGACAAAACATAAATATGTACAAAAAGGAAAAACACCAAAGGCATGCCCAAACTAAAGACTCAAAAACAAACGGAAGGCCTGATGGCCACCAAGCAAAACCAGCAGCATCATGTTGTAAGCTGGGACATTGACTGACAATCCTAATTGACAGCACCTGATATGCTTATCAAGCCTTGGCTCCGCACCTAGACACGGTTGCTGCGAACTGGGGGATGGAGTGTGGAAGTGTGTCCTGGATAGTGTGTTTGTCTATGTCTTAACACTAACATTCCCCCATATCATAACAATAGTCACTCTGTTTTCCTCTCCTCTCCTCCTGATCAGAATGATTGAAGATCGTGGGAGGAGTGGTGACATAATGGCGGAGAGACGACAACTGTTCGCAGAGATGCGTAAGTGTACAGGGCGATCTCTGAAAAGTAGTGAACCACGTTCAAAGTATTATAACTATTGTATACATAATAATAACATTCACCAGGTTATTAATGACATTTACCAAGTAATTTACCTTGTTACCTCTAAGAAAGATTCCAGTATAGGATCCAGTATTGGCCAACACAGCTTATTTTCATTAGCAATACTAGACAGGAATCTATTGTTAAGGACCACATGAATGCACTATCTGCATGGACATAGTGTGTGAGGCAACACTCTTCCCCCTGTAGCTCCACAAAGTCTATCATCAGCAGCATTCCTGTGTTACTGTCTGTCATATTGCCTTGCACACAAATTAATTTTTTCCTACAGGGGCACAAGAGTTGGATTCCATAAGATTGTCCACGTATAGAACAGCTTGCAAACTCAGATTCGTTCAGAAGAAATGCAATCGTGAGTATGATGTGATGTCCTCTGTCTGAGGTTTGATTGTGATTTTCTTGTGTTTCTAAAATACACATGGATAAAAGGGAAAGTGTCCATGCATTTCTATTCTACTCTATCTTTTCACAGTCCATTTGGTGGACATCTGGAATGTGATTGAGGCGTTCCGAGAGAACGGCCTGAACACCATGGACCTCAACACAGAGTTCACTGTGGCTCGCCTGGAAGCAATACTCTCCACCATCTTCTACCAGCTCAACAAGCGCATGCCCACCACCCACCAGATAAATGTGGAACAGTCCATCAGTCTGCTGCTCAACTTCCTGCTGGCTGCCTATGACCCGTGAGTATCCACCATGACCGCATCACTGTGGCACGGTCACTGAGCATGATGATGGGGCGATTTTGTTGCATGTGTGTGTGTGTGTGTGTGTGTGTGTGTGTGTGTGTGTGTGTGGTGTGTGGTGTGTGTGTGTGTGTGTGTGTGTGTGTGTGTGTGTGTGTGTGTGTGTGTGTGTGTGTGTGTGTGTGTGTGTGTGTGTGTGTGTGTGTGTGTGTGTGTGTGTGTGTGTGTGTGTGTGTGTGTGTGTGGTGTGTACACCACTTCATTGATGTGTGATTATTCTGTTCACACAGTCTTTCATGGGAGAACGAAATCCAGACTGACTGTTGTTTTAGCAATGTAATGGTCTCACAATGGTCTTGTGTCAAGTGATGCATCTTTAGTTCTGATGAAAGAAAAGAGAAAGTAAACGGTGAAAATGACATAGTGATGATGATAAATGCAATTTAACCGTTTTTGCTTGTTTTTACTGTTGTAATTACAGCGTATAAGAGCAACTTAAAGGTGCTGCACATAGGATTTTGGGGAATTTTTGCATTGTAATTTCAGAAAATGTCCAAATATATTTGCCGTTAATAGTGGAATGATAGTGTTTCACAGTATTACTTACCCGCCAGTGTTGTGATTGGCTGTGATATTCGTCTATTAATTTATCCCGCCGGAGTGTCATCTGTTGTTCTGACCTTGTGGCAGTGTTATCTAGTGGAAATCGCTAATTTCCTGGTTGCTAAAATTCTACAATTTCAGTTTATGTGAGAAAATAAGCACTGAATACTGTAGGGAATCATTGTACCATCTAAATCAATGTGAAATGTATTTAATGACAAAAAATATTGTTTTTACAGCTGTTTGAAGCTGGTGGACCAAAATTGAAAGTTACTTTCGGTTTTGGTCCAACAGCTTCAAACAGCGGTTTTGGTCCACCAGCTTCAAACGGCTGTAAAAATGATATTTTCTGTTACTGAAAATATATTATAGACATTTTCAGAAATTATAATACAAAAATTCAAAAAAATCCTATGATTACATTATTGCAAGTATTATTCTTGTACTGTATATTCTTGACCTTTTCACAAATACACAAATTATTCTGAAAAAATACTAAACACATTTCTTCTTTTAGGGAAAGCATCGGAAAAATCTCTGTCTTTGTTGTGAAGATGGCCCTGGCAACCATCTGCGGAGGGAAGATTTTGGATAAATTAAGATGTAAGATACTTGGTTAATCTTTATTAAGATTATAAATTAAGATGAAAATGAATTAATAATTTACAGAGAATGATTCACCCAACATTACTGTCCAGTGTTTACAGATTTCTATTAAATATGACCTATAATTAATTACAATATGAGTGAAATAGTTTTCCTTCCAATAAATGCTAATTAAGTATGCTAAAAAGCAGTTTGTCTGTGTTGGAATGGTGTGGGCGTTAGTGGTGCGTGGGTCAGCTGTTTGTTCACCTGCACCCGCCCGCAATTGCTAATAACACATCCGCAACCGCCGGACTATATGTGATAAAGTGAAAATCTGAGGCCTGCACCCGACCCTAACCTGCTAATACAGAAAATGCCCTGTAGGCTACAGTCAGAGACAGCAGAGCGATTTTTTGACAGTGGGTGCAGGATTTTTTTTTGCCTGATTTAGAAATGTTTCTGCATATAATTTCCGACGTTTTGGTAGGCTATTTGTTTGTCAACTTGTCTATAAATAGATACATGCACTGAGTGTACAAAACATTAAGAACACCTTCCTATTATTGAGTTGCACCCCCACCTTTTGCCCTCAGAACAGCCTCAGTTCGTTGGGGCGTGGACTCTACAAGGTGTTGAAAGCATTCCACAGGGATGCTGGCCGATGTTGACTCCAATGCTTCCCACAGTTGTGTCAAGTTGGCTGGATGTCCTTTGGGTGGTGGACCATTCTTGATACACACGGGAAACTGTTGAGCGTGAAAAACCCAGAATCGTTGCAGTTCTTGACCCTGGTGCCTACCACCATACCCCGTTCAAAGCACAGGAGGTTGGTGGCACCTTAATTGGTGAGGACGGGCTCGTGGTAATGGCTGGAGCGGAATCAGTGGAATGGTATCAAATACATCAAACACATGGTTTGATGCTATTCCATTCGCTCTGTTCCAGCCATTATTATGAGCCATTCTCCTCTCAGCAGCCTCCACTGGTTCAAAGGCACTTCAATCTTTTGTTTTGCCCATTCACCCTCTGAATGGCACACATACACAATCCATGTCTCAATTGTCTCAAGGCTTAAAAATCCTTCTTTAACCTTTCTCTATCCCTTCATCTACAGTGATTGAAGTGGATTTAACAAGTGACATCAATAAGGGATCATAGCTTTCACCTGGTCGGTCTGTCATGGAAAGAGCTGTTAATGTTTTGTATACTCTATGTATGTAGCCCTAGAAGACTAAGTAAACCCTTGCTCATCAGAATAATGTCATAAATCGATAGAATGAATGCTTCAATCTAGTAAAGTTCTCTCTGTCATATCTGCTTCTTTCGTGGAGCAAAGACGTTTAGGGACCAGGGAGAAAATGCAATAACCCTAAAGAAACGGGAAAGATTTCCTTTGCAAAATTTCCAAATGGCATCAGGTTGACCAGTTGTAAGGAAATAATAAAAAAATAAAAAAATTGATGATGATAAGATTTCAGTTCGGCTTGGATGCATATTTTATGTGGTTGAAATACTATCAGCTTTTATGACGCTGATAAAGATAGCACCTCTACAGATGGTATCTAACTGCGCATTCGCATTCTCTCAAGATGCCAAAATAAATCAATCCTATTTCTCCACTCCTGTTCCCGAGTAAAAATGTAGCCTACATTTGGTGTTTAATTTTACTGCAAGAAACGCTTAATTCTGCAGGAGTTAATATTAAGGCTATGTGAGAAGTTATAGACCTACAGTCAGTGTCTAGATTTCCATTTAACCCATCTGAACAGTAGGCTACAGTTCCCTTGACGTGCCGTGAAAAAGTATTTGCCCCCTTTCTGATTTTCTCTATTCTTCCATATTTTTTTGATACTGAATGTTATTAGATCATCAACCAAAACCTAATATTAGATAAAGGGAACCTGAGTTTACAAAAAAAACAAATATGATATACTTATTTTATTTATTTAATTAACAAAGTTATGCAACACCCAATTCCCCTGTGTGAAAAAGTAGTTGCCCCCTTACACTCAATAACTAGTTGTGCCACCTTTTGCTGCAATGACTGCAACCAAATGCTTCCTATAGTTGTTGATCAGTCTCTCACATCGTTGTGGAGGAATTTTGGCCCACTCTTGCATGCAGAACTGCTTTAACTCAGCAAAATGTTTGGGTTTTCAAGCATGAACTGCTCGTTTCAAGTCCTGCCACAACATCTCAATTGGGATTAGGTTTGGACTATATCAACAATGGACAAATAATGAAACAAATACCAAATAACTATTCATGGCTGGGAGAAGTCATTATTTATAGTAAAAAGGATAAACTTATTACATAATCCACTAATCTATTGCAGCAGAGCAGCCGCAGCTACTCATAGGGAAAATAAATGGAGGGTTAGGGTATTTTAGCTTATGTTTTATGGTAATTAATATGGATTGCTACGCACCTTTCATTCGTTTAGTTTTTGCAACGCAATACACAGCATGATTGCACTGCCTATTGCTGCAATTAGCGAACAATGGTGACAGCTGACAATGAATTTGATCAATTAATTATATATTTTGGAGTAACGCCTCCCCCCCCCCATTTTCTGCCCAGATGTTTTTTCACAGATGTCAGACCCTGGTGGCATAATGGTATACTCCCAATTTGACCAGTTTCTGAGGGAGATTCTCAAATTACCAATGACTGTTTTTGAGGGACCTTCCTTTGGCTATACTGAGCAAGCCACAAGAACTTGCTTTGCACAGCAGGTGAGAGTCCCATCTACACTGAAAATTAACATACATTTTCAAGTAAATCAATGATTGAATGTATACAACACACTATTGGTATAGATACTGTATAGGGGATGGATGTTGTAATTGTGTATGAAACATCCATCATATTACTGTATTTTCTTTCTAGTACTACCCCATATGCCAAACCTGTATGTGATGTGTAACCCCCTCCTCTACTGTATGTGATGTGTAACCCCCTCCTCTACTGTATGTTGACAGAAAAAGGTCTCCCTCAACACATTCCTGGACACGCTGATGTCAGACCCTCCTCCTCAGTGTCTGGTGTGGTTACCACTTATGCATCGCTTGGCTAATGTGGAGAATGGTGAGCCACCACTGCCACCACAGCATATTTAACACATTCATGGGATAGCTGCGGGTAGGAATGATGGGTAATTTTGTTTCATATCATCGCATTGAGTCACTACACAGTAGACATACATGCTCAGGCACACACATTCCCATGCCCGAGTGTGAGCACACACACACAGCGTTCCACCATCGCCCACCTCTTAACCCCTCATGAATGACAAGGAACTGACAACAGAATTAAAGTCTTACACACACTGATGATCACAGAACACCCTACCTTATTTGCTGTCTGATAGACCTGCAAACATCCCAGGGTCGTTGTCCTTTATAAAGATATCGGTTGCACCCAATATGTATTTGTATCCAACAACCTTTGGCGTGTGTGTGTGTGTGTGTTATATGTATGCACGTGCGCGTACGTGCATCCCCATGCACGTGTGTGTTTGTCTGTGTGCGTGCGTGGACATGTATGCACATGTTTGTGTGTGTGTGCCATGCCCCCCCCCAACCCTTTCCCTCCGTCCCTGCAGTGTTCCACCCAGTCGAGTGCTCTTACTGCCACAGTGAGAGTATGATGGGCTTCCGCTACCGCTGCCAGCAATGTCATAATTACCAGCTGTGTCAGGACTGCTTCTGGAGGGGGCATGCCAGCGGTTCCCATAGTAACCAGCACCAAATGAAGGAGTACACGTCATGGGTAAGGGGGGTGATGGGGTGGGGAGAGGTGTGGACGTGACTGCATCAGGCCAGCCAGCCAGTGCAGCAGCCATTTCTGCTTTGCTTCACCCAATACAGCGCTATGGAGATGATGATGAGACTGTGATTTGATTCTCTTACATTTTGGTCAATGACATCTAGTCCTATATCAAATTTTCTGTCATTACTCTGTTTTAAGTGCCTCTCCTTGCCCTCCGAAATCACACATAGCATCTTTTGGGTTTCTCCCAGAAATCGCCTGCTAAGAAGTTATCTAATGCTCTCAGCAAGTCTCTGAGCTGTGCATCCAGCAGAGAACCTTTACACCCTATGTTTCCTGACATGCCAGAGAAACCTCTGAACCTTGCCCACATTGTGTAAGTATGGGGCCATTCTATTCTATTCATACAGTAACATAGTAAAACTTGTATTCAATACCATAATCATCCTTTTCAATTTCAATACATTTCATATCCATCCCATCATCCCTTACCAGAGCCCCTTATCCCCAAAGTAAATGTTGAAACATGATGAATTGTATGTACTGTATATCTACATGTTTTGTAATTACCTTATATTTATATACATTACACTACATGCTTCTAACACTCAAGTAATAACAATCAATCAATTGTCGGATGCACATGATCAATTCATGTTAGCTGTAGGAATAAAATAGTGGCAATTTATTCTAATGGTTGACAGTGTGAGACAAATATTAATTTGGTCATCTAGACCCTTTTCATGTGAAAGTGAATTCAGTTGTACCACTCCCTGTGGCCGTTGTAGTGCATGCATGGATTGCATGCACTACAGGATTGTAACAAATGTCTTTGTTCTTTTCTTGCTGCAAAATAGAGACACTTGGTAAGTTTGCTTTGAATACTTGCCTAGAATATGCCTGTAGTACATTTAATTAGATCAACTCAAGTACTATAGAAGGCAGTGTAATATGTTACTAGTAGCTAGTGGCATATTATTTTGTCCTTATATACTATGCCCTGTAGTTCCTGAAAGTCACATCCATTTTAGCACAACCAACTTGTGTGCAGTTTACTACAGATTTCTGCATCAGTTATCCTGACCCTCCTTTGTGCCACATGTGAATACCTTTTTAGGTCATGTAAACAATACGATTATGAGGAGTTAATGACCTTTGGATGAGTGAGGAGGGAATCCACACCCACGCATTGTTTGCATGACAATATTGTCACAATCAGAAACTGCAGTCATTGTGCCCTGACTCCCCAGACCCATTCAATGCTCCTTCGGCCTTCTGAGACCTAGATCAGAAAGACACAGGCACACACACACACACAGTCTGTGTCTCTCTCTCTCTCTCTCTCTCTCTCTCTCTCTCTCTCTCTCTCTCTCTCTCACACACTCACACTCACACTCACACTCACACTCACACCCACACACACACACACACACACAGTTATGCAACAGTGGCTTCTCTTCCATTTGAGGATGGGAGCAGCTACTGTCATGTTGGCTGTTTGAACATGATCAAGTTTGTCTCCTGCACCACAGGCCTCCCAGACCAATGAACAGCACCAATGACTTCATGCTCTCCCACTCCATGCCCACGTCAGGGAACCCTTACTCTAAGAAGTAAGTATCTGACTGCAACGAGGCCGTATGCAGAATCTTCAAAAAGAGAATCAGGTTACCTGACTGTACATGTTCATCTTGATTAAAGATGAACACATCCACTTAAGTCCCCTGAAAGTCAGGGTAGATTGTTGTGTTTGTGTGTGTTGCTCCTTTCGTGGTCTCACTCTTTTGTCTGGTGTAAATAGCTTGCCTTATAATACCAAGAATAATGAAGCTGAGCAGAGAAAACAGTTGGCTAGGGCTGCTCCAGATCTGTTGAAAGGAAGGGGGTAAGTAACCCAGTGACCCAAGGGGGGCTACTGCCTATGAGAATGGTTTGGTGACTCAGATGCATGCACAAACTAATTTAGATAGATATAGGCTGTAATTTAAATGGAATTATATTCCTTATATAGCGCATTACTTAAGTAGTGCTCTATTATTGGGAATATGGTGCCATTTCAGACGCAAATATAGTCATTATAGAGCGTACACTGTAGTGCTCATTGTTCCAGTGGAGCCGTTCACTCTTCTCGTTTCCTATAGATGGGTTTACACAGTGATACTCAAGGGGCTATTTGAAAGATGCTAGATGGTGCTTGCATAGTAAAGGCCATTGACCATTCATTAGGATAGAGTATCTATTACAATCATTTTCATAGGTGTCCCACATTACCTGGGAGAGTGAAACTAACTGTTGCACTAATATTAACTTGGAGTCTCTCGCTCAAGTTTCTTTTACAATGATTAACATACAACTACACTCCTTTTTACATACTTGTATATCCTTTTATTTTCTGTTTCGCTGGCTCGTAATGTCAGCCTTGGACTCAGATACACACACACACACTGAGCGAGCCAGGGGAAGTTACAGGACAAGTTACATACATAGTTATCTGGCGTCAGTGAGTCCTCAATCATTTCTATGTATAGGAGCTGCACCTGCACTTGATGCTAGTCTAAGGAAAGAGACAAAGGCTCCATTGGTTTGAACACTGACCCCATTCATAGAGCCAGGTTTGTAAAGATATATACCTTCAGTGGATGTGATAATTAGTAGAGGTTGTATGGGGTCAGTTGTTGACGATGTGGTCAAGGTGGGGTTTTGGTCTTGTGAGTCAGTAGTAAGCAAACAGTACTTAGCAAAAATCACTCATTCTTGTCTTGAAATGCTTATTGAAATGATTAGCTTTATCAGACAGAGTGGCAGTTAGTGCATGACTACGCTTTGCATCTTGGAGCTATAGGTTATTTAGCACATTTTTCAAAATGTCAAATGAACGACATATTAATGTTTTGACATTAATTTACTTACATTACTTTCACTGTTGAAAACCTTAACACTGTCTATTCAGATTAAATTCCCATAAAGATATTATGATACAGGATTAGAGATATAAATGCAGGGTTTTTTCTCTGTGTACTGTAAATTATTTGAAAATGCAGTACAGGTACAGTATCACATTCCTATCCATAGTATTAGTATCAAAAGAGAATACAACAGGGATAGCATAACACAGTTTTGTGTTTTCTTCTATTGACTCATTCAATGACGGAGAAGACATTCTGTCTCTCTCCAGACCTGTTCTTGTCCAGTACTCTCTTCTCCTTCCTGTTCTCATCATGTATGTCGTTTGTGTTTGTGTTCTGAAACCCTACACTGTTCCAGGTTAAACTACAGTCTTGATGTGGCCGATAGACTGGCTGATGAACATGTTCTCATTGGGCTGTATGTGAATCTCCTACAACACAACCCCACATCATGGTTAGTCTGGAATCCTCTGTCTGTAAAGTAACAGTGGAAACTACAAGCTACAGTGCCTTCAGAATGTATTCTTATCCTTTAACTTATTCCACATTTTGTTGTGTTACAGCCTGAATTCAACATGGATCAACTATTTTTTCTCTCTCACCCATCTACACACAATACCCCATAATGACAAAGTGAAAAACATGTTTTAGAAATTTTAGCAAATTTATTGAAAATGAAATACACAAATATCTAATTTACATAAGTATTCACACCCCTGAGTCAATACGTTAGAATCACCTTTGACAGCGATTATAGCTGTGAGTCTTTCTGTGTAAGTCTCTAAGAGCTTTGCACACCTGTACAATATTTGCACATTATTCTTTTAAAAATTCTTCAAGCTCTGTCAAGTTGGTTGTTGATAATTGCTAGACAGCCCTTTTCAATTCTTGCCATAGATTTCCAAGCCAATTTAAGTCAAAACTGTAACTAGGCCACTCAGGAACATTCAATGTCGTCTTGGTAAGCAACTCCAGTGTATATTTGGCCTTATGTTTTAGGTTATTGTCCTGCTGAAAGGTGAATTTGTCTCCCAGTGTCTATTGAAAGCAGACTGAACCAGGTTTTCCTCTAGAATTTGGTTTATTTCTATCCTAAAAAAACTCACTAGTCCTTGCCGATGACAAGCATACCCAGAACATGATGCAGCCACGACCATGCTTGAAAATATGAAGAGTGGTACTCCATGATGTGTTGTGTTGGATTTGCCCTAAACTTAACGGTTTGTATTCAGGACAGAAAGTTCATTTCTTTGCCACTTTTTTTGCAGTTTTACTTTAGTGCCTTATTGCAAACAGAATACATGTTTTGGAATAGTTTTATTATGTACAGGCTTCTTGTTGTTGATCCATCCTCAGTGATCTCCTGTCACAGCCATTAAACTCTGTAACTGTTTTAAAGTCACAATTGGCCTCATGCTGAAATACCTAAGCGGTTTCCTTCCTCTCCTGCAACTGAGTTAGGAAGGACGCCTGTATCTTTGTAATGTATTGATAAACCATTCAAAGTGTAATTAATAACTTCACCTTGCTCGAAGGGATATATTCAATGCCTGCTTTTTTGTTGTTGTTTTTTACCCATCTACCAATAGGTGCCCTTCTTTGTGAGGCATTGAAAAACCTCCCTGGTCTTTGTGGTTGAATCTGTGTTTGAAATTCACTGCTGAACTGAGGGACCTTACAGATAATCATATGTGTGGGGTACAGAGATGAGATAGTCATTCAAAAATCATGTTAAACACTATTATTGCACACAGAGTCCATGCAACTTATTATGTGACTTGTTAAGCAAAGTTTTATTCCTGAACTTATTTCTGAACCGTAACAAAGGGGTTGAATACTTATTGACTGAAGACATTTCAGCTTTTCATTTTTTATTAATTTGTAAAAAATTCTAAAAACATAATTCCACTTTGACATTATGGGGTATTGTGTGTAGGCCAGTGACACAAAATCTAAATGTAATCCATTTAAAATTCAGGCTGTTACAACAAAATGTGGAAAAAGTCAAGGGGTGTGAATACTTTCTGAAGGCACTGTATTCACATAGTATTTACACCACCCCGGCACGGCTCTCCCTTTATTAATTGGAGCTACAAGCCTTAATACTGCATACACTACTCACGTCAATCAGAATAAATGGAGTATGTGTATTCACAAACCACTGACTTGTCTTTTAACAGCTGACATACAGTAATGTAGCTAAGCCATTACAAAATGTAACACTTCTTTCATACACCATACTGCTTTTGCCAGCTGTTGTGCTACTTAGCAATTATTCTTTACGGCTAAATCAGCGTTATCTTGCTCATGAAGTTGTTACAGGGCTGTAGAAAGTTGCATTTGTTTTGCTCTTCACATAGTAAAAATCTAGTTTACTGCCCTAGAATTGTCATTTGAATGTGCTTATGATGACAGCTTAGAATTTGCTGCTTTTCCTTATTTGCTTTGATAAGTGGCAGTAGTCAGTTCTTTTCAGAGAATATCTGTGTGTTTATGTTTGTCCTCTATTAGAACATCTTGGACTGTTACAGTAAATAGTTTGATTGGGATTTCGATTCTTGGACTTTAGTGCGTGTTCATGATTTTCAATAAATGCTGTACAGTAAATCTCAACGTCTTCTACAGTTTTGTAATTGTTCCTTTTCTCTGAAAGGAAACTCAGACCTTAACAAAATTATCCAGTGGAAGCTACTGACCGTTTACTGAAGTATCCATCCAAAAGGAATATTTTGTAAGGGTGCTAAGATTGTAGGAATCATCTGCTTTAGTCCTGGCTGCTCCGCTCTCCTGCTGCCTCCGCCTCTCTTGACTCTGTAGTAGTATCATCATAGAGATCTTTCTGCAGATGAAAAATACTTACAGATTCAACTGCATGTAACCTTCCTTAGCATTTGTATAAGCTCAATGTTGTTCTTTATTGCGTATAGAATGTGCGTGTGTGCGTGAGTGCGTGTGTGTGTGTGTGTTTGTATCTAGCTGCTTTAAGGCTTTGGCAAAATGGCTATGATTTGTCCCTAAATAGCATCACCAATTGACATGGGAGTCAGATGATTTAACAGATGTACAAACTACTTTACCAGTGTTTGCATGTAAATACTGTACATTATACTTAACTAAACAATCAGATACACTGTTCCAATTACCATTTCCATGAGAAAATTCCCATGTTTTCCCAATTTATGTACAGTAGTGTAAGTAAGTACAGAACTACTCTTTATATTTGTCTGCAGTATTTTGTGGCTGTGTGTCTAGTTGCTGTACTTCACTGCAGTAAATATGTAGGTGGAAGTGTGACTGTCTCCTCTCCTTTCTCCACCTGTAAACAGTTTGCTGGAGAGCAGTAACCACCAGGATGAAGAGCACAGTCTCATCGCCCGCTACGCTGCTAGACTGGCCTCTGACGCAGCCACCGCGGTGAGACACATGCTATCTGAGGGCATAGAGGGAGAAAATACCATGAATAGAAACCTGACATCTTCATGTGCACAGCACAAATACACATTTGTTCCAATTACCTGTTAAAGAAGATGAAAGTTGAGTGTGGGCCCTGAGTCAGGTCACCCAGTCAGGAAAACCTTGTGCCCCTAAGCATATGATCTATCAGTGTTCACTGTGGCTGCTAATGTCACTACTATGTAGTGGTTTATGAGTAGCAGTGTATAAGGAAATGACATCAGCAGGAATAACCTCAGTACAGTAGATAAGGTAATGTGTCCCTGTATGTTATGATAATGTCATGTGTCTGTGTTTTACAGAAACAAGCCCAGCAGCAGAGGGTGCCCAACGACATCTCTTTCTCTCTGGACGCCAACAAGCAGCAGAGGCAGCTTATTGCCGAGCTGGAGAGCAAAAACAGGTCAGGGATGGATTCCCTCTGAATTCGCTTTTCTCTCTCTGTTCACCTCTTTTTTCCAACCCTGCCAATCGTGCCAAATTACAAGAGCGGTGATAGGTTACTTAATGTTCTACTCAATGTACTTCAAAATTACAATGTGCTTCTCACACAAGCTGTGATCACAAGTTATTCAAATGGGCTGTAGTAGGGCTGTGACGATTATGGGATTTTGGGTAACAGTTAATTGTCATGCAAATAGCCACGGTTATTGACATAAGCTGTTTTGGTGAACTACCGGTAAGCTTCATAATAAAAAATGATCTAACAGGTGAAATGAAGAATGCGATCTGCTTCATCTAGTAATGCAGAAGTTGACTGCGGGTATTTATTTAAAAAAGTACACATGTATTCAAAAACAAACAACACATTATTTCTACGGTATTGAAAATCATACCGTGGGTATTTCAAAACACCCAGGAATACGGTATATACGGTATACTTCCCAACCCTAGTGCCAGCCCTTGGCTGTAGCCCTGTTTTCATGGTAGTATCAGAAAAATGTGAAAGCAAGTCTAATGACATGATGTGGTTATAGTAGACTTAATGTAGTCAAGCTAGCTGTTAATAATAATAATTTGGTGGGTGCTTATAATTGTCCTATTTCACAGATGTACAAGTTTGTATATTATACGCATGTGTGAATTGGAAATATGTTTTTTGCATATCCCAACTCCCCATGAGACACCCTCGGCGAGTGGGGTCAGCCATTATCAACAGCGACCCTGGAGCAATTAGGGTTAAGTGCCTTGCTCAAGGGCACATCATCAGATTTTTTCACCTTGTCAGCTCAAGGATTTGAACAAGAGACCTTTCGGTTACTGGCCCAACACCTAACTGCTAGGCTACCTGTCGTCCCTAGACCCCACCTGTAAGGCAAAACACACCATCTGAATCACACAAAACAAAAATATACTGAACAAAAATATAAATGCAACATGCAACAATTTCTGCGATTTTACAGAGTTACAGTTCATATAAGGAAATCAGTCAATTTAAATAAATAAATTAGGCACTAATCTATGGATTTCACATGACTGGGCAGGGGTGCAGCCATGGGTGGACCTGGGAGGGCATAGGCCCATCCACTTAGGAGCCAGGCCCAGACAATCAGAATGAGTTTTTCCTCACAAAAGGGCTTTATTACAGATAGAAATACTCCTCCGTTTCGGCAGCTTATGGTAGAGAAATGAACATTAAATTATCTGGCAACAGCTCTGGTGAACATTCTTGCAGTCAGCATGCCAATTGCACGCTCCCTCAAAACTTGAGACATCTGTGGCATTGTGTTGTGTGACAAAACTGCACATTTTAGAGTAGCCTTTTATTGTCCCAACCACAAGGTGCACCTGTGTAATGATCATGCTGTTGATATGCCACACCTGTCAGGTGGGTGGATTATCTTGGCAAAAGAGAAATGTTCACTAACAGGGATGTAAATTAATTTGTGCAAGGAATTTGAGAGAATAAGCTTTTTGTGCGAATGGAAAAATTCTGGGATCTTTTATTTCAGTTCATGAAACATGTTACCAACACTTTACATGTTGCATTTATATTTTTGTTCAGTATACTTCAGAAAGACTACATATGTGATATACTAGCTTCGACTGGCATGTGTGTACGTGTGTGTATCACAGAGAGATCTTGCAGGAGATCCAGCGCCTGCGAGTGCAGCACGAGCAGGCCTCCCAGCCGCCAACGGGCACGGCCCAACAGAACCCCACTCTGCTGGCCGAGCTACGGCTTCTCAGGTAGACCCATCTCAAGTTTCTTTAAAAAAAACAATGCTGACCATGTAAATGGACATTTAAATGTGTGTGCATATAATTTATATACACTATATATACAAAAGTATATGGACACCCCTTCAAATTAGTGGATTCGGCTATTTCAGTCACACCCATTGCTGACAGGTGTATAAAATCGAACACACAGCCATGCAATCAAACATTGGCAGTAGAATGGCCTTACTGAAGAGCTCAGTGACTTTCAACGTGGCACCGTCATAGGATGCCACCTTTCCAACAAGTCAGTTCATCAAATTTCTGCCCTGCTAGAGCTGCCCCTGTCAACTGTTGGTGCTGTTATTGTGAAGTGGAAACGTCTAGGAGCAAAAATGTCTCAGCCGCAAAGTGGTAGGCCACACAAGCTCACAGAATGGGACCGCCGAGTGCTGAAGCACGTAGCGTGTAAAAAGCGCCTGTCCTCAGTTGCAACACTCACTACCGAGTTCCAAACTGCCTCTGAAAGCAACGTCAGCACAATAAATGTTTGTCGGAAGCTTCATGAAATGGGTTTCCATGGCCGAGCAGCCGCACACAAGCCTAAGATCACCATGCGCAATGCCAAGAACGTTACCTGCCCCAAATACATAGTGCCAACTGTAAAGTTTAGTGGATGAAGAATAATGGTCTGGGGCTGTTTTTCATGGTTCGGGCTAGGCCCCTAAGTTCCAGTGAAGGGAAATCTAGACGATTCTAGACGATTCTGACATTCTAGACGATTCTGTGCTTCCCCAAATTGTTGCCACAAAGTTGGAAGGCCCTTTCCTGTTTCAGCATGACAATGCCCCCGTGCACAAAGCGAGGTCCATACAGAAATGGTTTGTTGAGATTGGTGTGGAAGAACTTGACTGGCCTGCATGGAGCCCTGACCTCAACCCCATCGAACACCTTTGGGATTAATTGGAATGCCGACTGCAAGCCAGGCCTAATCACCCAACATCAGTGCCCAACCTCACTAACGCTCTTGTGGCTGAATGGAAGCAAGTCCCCGCAGCAATGTTCCAACATCTAGTGGAAAGCCTTCCCAGAAGAGTGGAGGCTGTTATAGCAGCAAAGGGGGGACCAACTCCATATTAATGCCCATGATTTTGGAATGAGATGTTTGACGAGCAGGTGTCCACATACTTTTGGTAAAGTAGTATGTGTGTGTATATATATATATATATATATATATATATAATGGTTGTTTTCCTCTACCAGGCAACGCAAAGATGAGCTGGAGCAGAGGATGTCCGCTCTGCAGGAGAGTCGCAGGGAACTCATGGTACAGCTGGAGCATCTGATGCTGCTGCTGAAGGTGCGTAAGAAACACACACCGTGCATGCCATACAGTTTAATTTCTACTATAATGTAGGCCTACTCAGGCCCTCCAGGATCCGCGATTCTGTGATCGCAAATTCTTTTGAAAAATGAAAAATTCCCCGCATATTATGCGAGGGCTTGCAAATTTTACCAATCACCGCACTATTTCTGCATAAAACAGTCAAATCATCGCAATGTTATTGCATAAAATTGACCCATACGCAGTACAAAAAGAGGGCTTGCAATTTCAACCAATCAGCGCACATTTACCGCATAATATAGTTCACTCAAGTCATACTTAAACAAACTTTACCTTGTCAGCGCATTTTTTGCGACAAATTGGACAAAGTCATTGCATATTACCATGCAATAAAACAGAATTGCAGATGCAAAATGAAGCACTTTTGCCGGCAAATATCACAAAAAAATCCCAGCTAAATCCTGGAGGGACTGGGAAGAAGTGGAGAAAATCGAACACACTTTTCATTATCCGACCACTAGAAGGCGCACTTCTTCATCTCTCACCAAGGAACTTCCCTGGCTTCAGTAAATCCTCAAGTGTTGCTCTGGTCTTGACAAGTCTTCCCTTCTCATCCTCTGACCATAACCCATAACTCTGTCTTTATCAAAAATGACTTTGTGTTCCCCAGTTTCTTCATGTTAAGATGTCGAGATATACGATTTAATAGACCTTCTTCTGGTCTTTCTACCCAAGGACAGTGTTTGATCATAGGATCATAGGATTATGACCACTGACAATATACCACCAACATCACTATCACATAGTAATAGGATAATATTCAGCCAAAGAGTCAGGCACAACAACAATGGATAGAGAAAGGTGTTTAAGAATTCTGACATAAACTGCTTACTCTACTGGCTTAAGTGGTAAAGCTATCAATCTAATTACTCAACAGAAAGGATAAATGCTAATCCAGTTGGCCCTAGCTAGCATTGGCATGCTAGCATCAGACTTGCTTTAGGCCTAGGCAGAAATTCCCAATAGGTTTTTACATGTGAAAGAAATTGTCTTCATTGAATGATTATGCTATTGTGTGTTTTGGGGACGGTAAATGAATAACCATTTTTCTTAACAGGAGGAGGAAAGGAAGCAAGCTGTAAGTCTGTCTGTAAAACCTAAAAAATAACTAATGCTTCTTTCAAAGAGATATGAAGAGACTTGGGGACAAATTAATGTGATTTTATTGTGCGTTTGTGGTTTTGCTGACAATATATGATCAGCTCTAATGGGAACTGGAAATGCAGCAGTGAGTTGAACTAACAGCATGTTAAATATTTAGATAATATTGACTTAATGAAAAGTGCTGCTAAATGAACCTACAATTCCTTATGGCATGTGTGCAATGTTTGTTGCTCACCAATTATGGATGTATTTTTTTATATGCATAACCTAACAGCTTTTTCAGCACTCAGCTGGTCTGAACTTGAGGAATTTTTGCTCCATTACTGGGATCTTATAACGTTGTAATTAACATATGGGAATGATGCTATAACTGATACAACTCTTGACCAAAACTACAATCCCCACTTTAAGTATCCCATACAGACCTATGGAGATTCATAACTGAATCATTCAGTATAAAAATACCTCCACCAACATTAGATGGATCAATGTTGATCAAGATTATCACTGGTTGTTACTGCACAGGTGTACTACTACTACTACTACTACTACTACTACTACTACTACTACTACTACTACTACTACTACTACTACTACTACTACTACTACTACTACTACTACTACTACTACTACTACTACTACTGAAACAGTGACAGGAAGTCGCTCTGGATAAGAGCGTCTGCTAAATGACGTAAATGTAAATGAGGAACTGACACCTAGAGTCATACTAAACCCCTACTTCCTGTTTCAGACTCAGGGGCCTGGCTCCCCCCGCTCATCCCCAAGCCACGCAGTCAGCCGGCCCATCCCCATGCCAACCCAGTCAGAGTCTGCCGCCACCACACCCACTCACACCCCTCAGGACTCACTCATGGGTGTGGGAGGAGATGTGCAGGAGGCCTTCGCTCAGGGTAATACACACGTGCATGTATTCACACACACACACACAACTTTATAGATGAGAGTGGATTGGCCTACTCTGGGTCTGGAGAGCCACAGTTCTCACAGAGCCTCTGTTCTATCCCCAGGCCCCAGGAGGAACTTGAGAAATGACCTTCTAGTTGCTGCTGACTCCATCACCAACACCATGTCTTCATTGGTTAAAGAGCTCAATTCAGGTGATACTATAGTCTCACTGTTTCTATCTGACTTTTGTCAGTATACTTTGCTCATCCTTGCAACATTTTAACACTGTGTTGTCTCCCTTAGAGGCTGGAAGTGAGACAGAGAGCAACATGGACTCTCAGACAGATGAACTGGTCTCCTCTCCCTCATTCGATCTTCTAGCACAGATAACCACTAAACCACGGTAACTACAGTCTGCAGTATGCACAGTGTGCAGATCAGTACTTGACTTGGGCAGGAGCTCACTGGAACTAAGTACCGGCAACTCAAATGTTCTTCTGCTTGAGTATGTGACCGACCAGCTCGATTCGGTCTTATGTAACAAAATTTGAAATTGTGTTTTTACATTGGATAAAAGTAGTGACTGGTATATCATACACTACAGTTGAGGAACAATGGGAAAGTAATTCTGCTTAGAAAGTTGATAAACTTGTAACCTCACTTTTGAGAAAATGGCCTTTGAATGTTTTGGTACACCCACTGGAGAGCTCTTCTTTGTCTACACCCATTCAGCATCGTTCACACCCTCTTAAGCTATAGCCCCGCCCGTAAACTCAGAGCTTTGTCAGATTGTCCGTTCGTAAATTCAGAGCGTTTAGCTCTCTGAGCATTTAGAGCGCACACTGGACGCTCTGGCCAAGGAGTAGGGTTGATCAGAGCGTTCTGTCCTAACAACAGCAGTCAAGCACCCAAGCTAACTGGCTAACGTTGGCTAGCTTGCTAGCAACTTCCAGACACAAATGAGAGAACAGCTCACTGACCATTTTACTCACCCTAGCAGAGCTGGTTAGGCAGTTTTTATGTTATCCAGAGCGTTGGTGACTGCAACTGTGCTGCTGGCAACAATTTAATTATGCTTTTTTGCCAACGTTTACTAACACCGGCCATATTCAACAGGTGTTGAGCGTTCGTAAATGTGTCAGTTATTCTGCACTATGGGACACTCAGACGAGAGTGCTCTGAAATCGGAGTAGATAGCCAGTGCGAATTTACCAGCTACGTCTATCAACAGCTGTCGCATTGACATCATGAACATTCTATTGAAATGGTTACTTGCGTAGTGGAGTCTTTTGTTAAGACATGTAGCTAGCTAAACTATGAACCATAATCCCAACTCATGACGTTACTACCCTGCATGAATCTGCAGGTAGCTAACCAACCAGGTTCAATGTTAGTTAGCTAACAATGCCTATAACTAGCAAAGCAAATGGCTCTGAGATACGAATAATATTACTACACAGATCATACACGTAACGTTAGCTAGCGAGCCAGCCAGCTAACGTTAGCTAGCTAGCTAACAGTAATAACTTTAAATGAAAACGACTTTCTGACAAAATTAGAAACGTGTAATATCTGAAAATGTAGCTAGGTAGAGTATCTTACCTGTATACATGGATGGACGCTTCTCCCTCTCTGCCATGGTTGCCCTTAGTTTGAAGATGTAATCCGGAGACAAGTGTTTTCTCCATCTCCTTAGCTATCATACTTTCAAAACTCGATCTCTCGTCATGTCCAGCCCACCCCTGTGGGGTGCCACAGGGTTCAATTCTTGGGCCGACTCTTTTCTCTGTGTATATCAATGACGTCGCTCTTGCTGCTGGTGACTCTCAGATCCACCTCTACGCAGACGACACCATTTTGTATACATCTGGTCCTTCATTGGACACTGTGTTAACAAACCTCCAAACGAGCTTCAATGCCATACAACACTCCTTCAGTAGCCTCCAACTGCTCTTAAACACTAGTAAAACTAAATGCATGCTCTTCAACCGAACGCTGCTTGCACCCGCCCACCCGACTAGAATCACTACTCTCGACGGGTCTGACCTAGAGTATGTGGACAACTACAAATATCTAGGTGTCTGGTTAGACTGTAAACTCTCCTTCCAGACTCACATTAAGAATCTCCAATCCAAAGTTAAATCTAGAATCGGTTTCCTATTTCGCAACAAAGCCTCCTTCACTCATGCTGCCAAACATGCCCTCGTAAAACTGACTATCCTACCGATCCTTGACTTCGGCGATGTCATTTACAAAATAGCCTCCAACACTCTACTCAGCAAATTGGATGTAGTCTATCACAGTGCCATCCGTTTTGTCTCCAAAGCCCCATATAATACCCACCACTGTGACCTGTACGCTCTTGTTGGCTGGTCCTCACTACATATTCGTCGCCAAACCCACTGGCTCCAGGCCATCTATAAATCACTGCTAGGCAAATCCCCACCTTATCTTAGCTCATTGGTCACCATAGCAACACCCACCCGTAGTCTGCGCTCCAGCAGGTATATCTCACTGGTCATCCCCAAAGCCAACACCTCCTTTGGCCGCAATTCCTTCCAGTTCTCTGCTGCCAATGACTGGAACAAATTGCAAAAATCTCTGAAGCTGGAGACACTTATCTCCCTCACTAACTTTAAGCATCAGTTGTCAGAGCACCTTACCGATCACTGCACCTGTACACAGCCCATCTGAAATTAGCCCGCCCAACTACCTCATCCCTATATTGTTATTTATTTTGCTCATTTGTACCCCATTGCACATCTATCATTCCAGTGTTAATACTAAATGTAATTATTTTGCACTATAGCCTATTTATTGCCTTACCTCCATAACTTGCTACATTTGCACACACTGTATATATATGTATTTCTGTTGTATTTTTGACTTTGTTTTGTTTTACCCCATATGTAACTCTGTGTTGTTGTTTTTATCGCACTGCTTTGCTTTATCTTGGCCAGGTCGCAGTTGTAAATGAGAACTTGTTCTCAACTGGTTTACCTGGTTAAATAAAGGTGAAATAAAAAAATAAATTAAAAAAAACTCATTATCTCAGCCAATCATGGGTAGCGGGAAGGTTGCTGTCTTTTTCTGTGGCTAAACCAACTAGGCTCGTAATTTAACAATTGTATTCGTATTTACAGATGGCATACAAGTTTGTTATTAAGGCACATGAAAGTTCACATGTTCCAGAAGGCATTTCTGCTTAAAAACACATTTTGATAAAAAAAAAAGTTATGTTCAAATGGCTCTCCTGTGAATTAGTGACACGCGACATACACCTAGTTTCCTGAAACGAGTCTCATATAGAATATTATCTCAAAAGTATTGAGGAGTTCCTGCACCTGAATATAATTGGTACCGGCACCCAAAATGAGCACCGTCACCTATTTCAGTCCAAGTCAAGCACTGGTGCAGATGTAGGAATCTATGAATCTCTATAAAAGCTACACAATCTTATACAGTAGATTTTAGTATGGTAATGTTGGATTTACCTCCATAGTGTTGGTCGCAGGAACACTGGTGGAGTTGAGGAGGAGTGCTATGAGAATGACCTGGTTCAGGTGCTGGAGGATGAGCTGAAGATGGAGGAACTACTAAAACACAGACAGGAGCAAGAGAAAACCCGTATGGTGAGCTATGGTTAAATATAGTTACATTTAGGGGAATTAGTGCATTACAAAACATATTCCTTATATTATTCCTTGAAATCTTCTCTCGTTGTCTTGGCTATGTTCCTTGTGCCGTACAGGTGACTTTGCAGCAATGACCATGTTGAAAGAGTTTTGTGGTAAGTAGCCTAATTAATTTCTCTGTGGTCTTCTACATCTTCTCACAATTTGAAATATATTGTTTCTCACTACGCTATATACCAACTCAAATGGGCAGAGTATTTAACCCCCTATCCTCTGAACAGCTAAACAATATGAAAAGCAACTAAAGAAGAAAAACACTGGAAGATGGATGAGAAGAGAAGACACAGAGAAGCTTATGAGGAGATGATGTTCCACGCGCATGCAGGATCTCCAAGCCAAACTGAAGAAGAAGTGACAGGAAGGAAGGATAAAGTTATGACACTGCTAAATCCAACAATAGAATACATAGTTATATTATGTAAAGATCTATTTTTTAAACCAACAGCATATTTAAGTGAATACTGTGAACTGATATGGAGAGAATATAACAACAGAGCTGTCTATTATACCACCGGTGCCATAAAATCAAATAACTTTATTGGGAATTATTTGTTGATTTTTATCATATTATTTTTAGGTACGAGCTGTTGAAGAATTGTGCAAGTATATACTGTAGGTGTATGGTGGACAAACCAGGCCATTGTCTTTCAGTGAGATTGCTTTTGAATCCAAATATTAACCTGGTGTATGTGTAAACTGAGGCACAACTGTCTATAACGTAGAGGTTAGCTACAGTATGTCTGACTGCTATGACCAGGTTGGCCTACCAGTCCAGGATTTTTAACTACTGGTGTTGTGTGGCTTTTGTATGTGTTGGTTGACCTTTTTATCTTTGCTTTTAACCAATTGAAAGAGTGGCTTGTCAGAGAATGTATTTATTTTGACTTATCTCATATTATGTGCACTGCCTTAGCTGATTAGCCTAGCTCAACTTTGGATGGGGTACAGTCAAACCTTCAATGCAACATGTAGCTAACATTGTTCCAGCCACTGTTAGAATGCAAAATTTCATCACTGTCAAAATCATTTTGTTTATTTCACTGAGAAATATTGCCTATTAGTTAATAGTACTAGCTATATTAGGTAAGAACTTTGTGGCAGAGGAACAATGTTATTTGCATTCTTCTGTATTTTGTGATTCCCACATTGCATATTTGATTGAATTCCACCTGGAGTATTGAGCCGGTAGGTGATACTAAGAGAATGAGACCGTATAGGAAGAACAAGCTGAACCTATGATAAATCTGATGCTGGAAAGTGATATTGTCTACTGAGGTGTTTTTGTTAACTAATAGCTATATACGTTGATGAAGAGTTATAGTTGAGTTTATTTTATTAATACCTGCTTGAGATTTAAAGATGTGATGACAGACATGAAAATGGAGTAGGAAGTACAATACCTTAAAGAAGAATAGAATGGAAAACAATGTTCATAGCACTTCAGATTCAAAGGTTTACACTTGCAAGAACGGAGAACATTGTTTGTTTACCATGTTTCAGAATTAATATCTACTGTCTTACCATATATTTTGAAGTTGCTTTGTCATTTAAATGTTCTGACCAAATTATTTGCATTTTTCTGCTCACTCACACACACATCTCTCTCAAACACACTCAGTCACACACTTGATACCTGAATTCAGTGTGTGTAAAATGTTACCCAGTCACTTTAAAAGAGGTGGTGCAAGCCAATTTAAAATCATAAATGTATGAAATATATCTAGTATGATTTTTGCGCTAGTTCATATCAGTGATTTTGCATGTTGGTGATGATCCATAATAAAGAATTGACACAACGTGAGAATGTTGTCTCTATGACCTCTTTCTTGCTTCTTTTTTCTATCACTTATAAAAGGCACCTGGCACTGCATAGCCTGGAATCAAAACTGAAACAATGGTGAAATGGAGCACATCAGTTTGGATTCCAGGCTAGCAATATGAATTCCCATAGGCTTGGTTTACTGCTCCACATTTATTATCTGACACTAGTTCACTGCTCACTGCCTCTAATTCATCACATACCATCCCAGTTAGAACAAAAAAGCAGACAACCATTAATAGATGAGATCAGTGCACTCATACTTTTGTATAACCGTCCACAGTAGGTGTATCTCTTGGCTATTGTCAGTAAGATAGGATCCCTGTCAAATAGCCTTCAAGTTGACATAATTCCAAAGAAAAGGCCTTTGACTAATAATTTCAGCCAAGGTAATCTTAAATGCTAATGTATTTTATGCTTTCTTGCTCTCATTGCTTTGCCTGCTCTGTCCTCTGTTTCTGATCCCCTGCTCTTGCTTGACATGCCACTTCATCGTCTGTCTTCCTCCTCTCTAGGTAGGACTTGAGTGCCTTCCCCCTGCTGATGAAAAAGTATCTCAGCACCCAGAACCAAATAATGTCTGCAACGTGACTATTAGCTGTGTTGCTTTCCTACAAGCAGTGGTCCAACCAGTTGTTGGGTCCAACACAAATTATTCCTCTTGACATTCACTTTCATTGTTTGTTTTATGACTGCCTGCACAGACAGTGCTACACAAGCTGTGATTATATATACCTGAGTACCTCAATGGCCTGTTTCCCAGACACAGATTAAGCCTAAAGACTGAAAAGGACTAAAAAGCATTCTTAATGGAGATTATCCATTGAGCTTAATCTGTGTCTGGGAAACCGGTATTAAGAGTACACACTTTTGCCAATGACATATTATGATTGATCAATATCTGAGAGATTTTCTCTGCCACTTTATATAATTGCAGTGTGCTAAGGGAAATGCTAAGGGGAATCTGAACTCCTGAAATTTGTATTTATTTCAAACAAATCAAGGAGCTCAGTATGCAGGCCATTCATTGCAGTCCAGCACAGTCAATGCAGAATTATGAAATACGCTCTTTGACTAAATTCTCATGCAAGTATGCTTAACCTACACATTTTTCTGTTAGGGTCCATGACCCCCAACCCATCCAAAAAAAATTAAAATAAAAAATGCACTTGTCTCTTCCTACTACCACTGACTTTGCTGATAACTACTTTGTTGAGGGAAAATGTACTTGCTACGATTTTGACGTGTGTTGTCTCACTTAGCTATCTTAAGATGAATGCACTAATGTAAGTCGCTTTAGATAAGAGGGCCTGCTAAATGACTTAAAATGTAAATGTAAAATGTTTAATGGAAATGGTTTGTAGATAAGAGCCCAACCTCTAATGAGCTATGAACCTTAAGTCTCGCAAACACTTGTGGGAATGTCTCATTGGTTTGTTTGAAATGTTCTGATGTGATATTTAATTAGTTGACCAAGTCACCTCAGGTGAATGATTTCTTTTTGGCCTGAAACCAAGTTCCATAGAAGCCTCAAAACATAGAGTCCTATTAAATATGGCTGAAGGCCCTTTGGCCCTAGACCACAGCGTCTCAGAAAAAAATTATTTATGGTTAGAAAAATCTATATGGTATTCCTAGCCTCACAAGATACATTTAAACAAACACATGAAACTTGTTTGGCTTTAAAGCTTAATTTAGCAAATGTTGAAACTATATATACTTGCACATTTGTAGCTAAAACTCTCTTGGAGTCTTGCGAAAGGTGCAAGAATGTAAAACTTGGATATCGAAAACCAAGCAAAAGCTTGTAAAAACGAGGTTCAACTATGACGTTCATTGCAAGTCTCAGCCACCAGAGACATAACCTGATTTCAGCACTGCTGTGCTGACTGCTGCTAGGGTTTAACACATGAATGGCACCACAATGGTACAGTTCTAATCAATTCTGCAATTCAGTTGCAGCCAGCAAGGTGGCCCAGACAGCTGATGCTGCTAAGCAGCTGCTGAAAATGCATGTTGAGATCTGAAATTTAAAATTCAACTTGGTATTTTTGCTTTATAGTATGATTTCTGCAGTCATTATGTTTATATGGAGAACACCTATGTGCTAAATCATAATACTTCCATGCAATCTCTTTGGAATTTTTTTTATTTATGTTTTCCTTCAGCGCATGTGTGTACTGACTGAATATTTCTTCACAGAGTACACTTCACTTCTGCACAGAGTACACTGTGTTCAAGTTTACCAAGAATAAATGTATTTTATATACACTACCAGTCAAAAGTTTGGACACACCTACTCATTCAAGGGTTCTAAAATATTTTTACTATTTTTTACATTGTAGAATAATAGTGAAGACATCAAAACTATGAAATAACACATATGGAATCATGTAGTAACCAAAGAAGTGTTAAAGAAATGAAAATATATTTTCTATCTGAGATTCTTCAAATAGCCACCATTTGCCTTTATGACAGCCTTGCACACTCTTGACATTCTCTCAACCAGCTTCACCTGGAATGCTTCCCCATCAGTCTTGAAGTAGTTCCCACATATGCTGAGCACTTGTTGGCTGCTTTTCCTTCACTCTGCCGTCTGACTCATCCCAAACCATCTCAATTGGGTTGAGGTTGGGGGATTGTGGAGGCCAGGTCATCTGATGCAGCACTCCATCACTCTCCTTCTTGGTAAAATAGCCCTTACACAGCCTGGAGGTGTGTTGGGTCACTGTCCTGTTGAAAAACGAATGATAGTCCCACTAAGCCCAAACCTGATGGGATGGCGTATCGCTGCAGAACGCTGTGGTAGCCATGCTGGTGTGCCTTGAATTCTAAATAAATCACACAGTGTCACCAGCAAAGCACCATCACACCTCCTCCTCCATGCTTTACGGTGAGAACTACACATGCGAAGATCATCCGTTCACCCACACCGCGTCTCACAAAGACACTGCGGTTGGAACCAAAAATCTCCAATTTAGACTCCAGACCATAGGACACTATTCCACCGGTCTAATGTCCATTACTCGTGTTTCTTGGCCCAAGCAGGTCTCTTCTTGGTGTCCTATAGTAGTGGTTTCTTTGCAGCAATTCGACCATGAAGGCCTGATTCACA